ATTCTATTTAGAAGGATTTTCTGCCGCGTTAGCCGGTGTTGGCATCTGTCCATAGGAGAAAGTCTTAAATCCCCGGCCGAAGGCCGGTCACCCAAAAAAATATTCCATTTAACAAGAGATTCTGTCGCGTAGCCGGTGTAGGAAGCTGTCCATAGGAGAAAGTGGTAAATACCCGGCCGAAGGCCCGCTACACAAAAAAATATTCTATTTAGAAGGATTTTTTGCCGCGTTAGCCGGTGTTGGCATCTGTCCATAGGAGAAAGTCTAAAATCCCCGGCCGAAGGCCGGTCACCCAAAAAAGTATTCCATTTAACAAGAGATTCTGTTGCGTAGCCGGTGTTGGTATCTGTCCATAGGAGAAAGTGGTAAATACCCGGCCGAAGGCCGGCTACACAAAAAAATATTCTATTTAGAAGGATTTTTTGCCGCGTTAGCCGGTGTTGGCATCTGTCCATAGGAGAAAGTCTTAAATCCCCGGCCGAAGGCCGGTCACCCAAAAAAATATTCCATTTAACAAGAGATTCTGTCGCGTAGCCGGTGTAGGAAGTTGTCCATAGGAGAAAGTGGTAAATACCCGGCCGAAGGCCGGCTACACAAGAAAATATTTTATTTAGAAGGAGTTTCTGCCGCGTTAGCCGGTGTTGGCATCTGTCCATAGGAGAAAGTCTTAAATCCCCGGCCGAAGGCCGGTCACCCAAAAAACACCATGCTATTTAAAAGGAGATTCTGTCATGTAGAAAGATTTTCCTTGTTTTATAGGGTTCTAAGGCCCATATCTTTTGATCCACAACAGATACAGCCACATATCGCACCATTTTGGAAAGGGCAAATTGTGGTCTATCATTTGGGTCCTGTTTGGAGAGGGACTATAATGGACCCAAGTTCGACTTTTAGGGAGTTTTTCAAAAAAATCGGGGACCAAAACCCAGTTTTTTGACTATATCCCCAAAATGGTTTGAGATAACCCCATCATATTACCACTCAATGGAAAGGTATTTTTATAACCTTTAAAATGATACCCATATTATATTAAACGGATCCGTAGAACCGGATATAACCGGGTACCCGTACCCGAACTTCCGGGTCAAATAACCGGGTAACCGGGTACGTCCCCCAAGAAAAAAAGATATCCCCATAATTAGGGTAAAAATACCTACCTCTGGAAAAAATTTCAGAAAAATTTGATCGTTTTTACTAAACTAGAGTTGTTCCAAACTCTTGCAATAAACTAAAGGCGGTGTCCCAAAAACATGGGTGATTATAGCAATTTCATAAAATGTGGAGAGGTGCTATTAGCACCATCGTTGGAAAACAAAACTCAATATATCTTAAAATGTCTGGATTGTGATGAATATATAAAGGGATTAAAGAAACTTATAACCCATTGGAGAAATACTCATTTATCCAGCGGCGTTAAGGAATTATATTATATAGTGGAGGAAGAAGGTCCATCAACTCAACGTTATAGAGTAGAAGCTGACGAACCGATTGTTAAAAATGAGCCAGTGGACTATGGTATGGATAAGGATGATATGTTAATGGTGGACAATGTAAATCCGCCAGAAGATACAGGTCTGAACGAGGAAGTTATTGTTAAACACGAATCATTAATGCCGAATATCCATAGAAGTGATATGTACATGCAGGATGGTCTTGTGGAGGAACCAGTTGCGAGCAAGGAATCTGTAGCCTACGCTAATGATTATCAGGTATTAAAGTTTGTAATGTTACAAGGACAGTTTCAGTTCTTAAATTTTTAGCTTTATTTTTTTAAAAGGATCCCTTAGAATATATAACATGTGATATGAAAGCGGAATATATTGATGATGATGACAATGTCGCATTACAAGAAGATAACGATAACTCGGATCTAATGTTACAATGCGAAACACTTAGTGTAGAAGAAAATTTAACGCAAGAAGAAGAAGACGAGGAAGAGGCGGAGGAGGAGGTAAGCTATGCAAAAACTTAACAAAATTATACTTTGAAGATAAACCCCGTTTTCACATTTTCAGGTTACCGACATTGAAGAAGGCCCATATGCTAAATTCGTAGAAGATTTTATGAATAACAAACCAAATGCTTTGGCTTTTATAAAGGCTTTCAAATTTCAACCACAAATATGGAATCCCGAACTAATCGATAGTATTAACGACAACGATAGGTCAAAATATTTACAACAAATTTCATCTGAGGTTAAAAGGGAAACATCTACGATACTATCTATAGAACAGACAAAAGCCATAGTGGCATATTTATGTTTACAATATAAACTAGCCACAAATACCATTATAAAACCCGACTGGTTCTATGACCATTTACGTTTCATGCCATTGCCAAGTAAATATATGTCCATAACCGAAATTGGTAAACACAAATTAAATCCTCAACAAATAATACAGATTCTACAGACATATGAGACACTGCCATGTCTCTGGAACAGCGATTTAAATGAATATTGTTGCCACAATAAACGTTTGGAGGCTTTGGAAAATATGCAACAATTCTTAGAGTGTGAAATGTTTATAAAACTTGGGAAAAATGAATTGAAATACTATCTCAGCAATGTCCACATGCATTGCACGAAACAAAAACGCTTGCAAAAACTAGATTCCCATCAAACACCTCAGTCGGAATATTTCCAGTATATGCAATATCTTCTTGATTATGTGGCACCGTACGAGTGTCCAGAGTGCGATAAAGTAGTGTGGAATCCATTGGCGTTAAAAGCTCATAAATCCAGTCATGATGGCAGCACACCATTTTTATGCTCCACATGCAATCAAGGTTTCACAAAGGTGAATCCTTATGTTGATCATGTTCGTCGGCATATGAATGATTTCAATTCTGTGTGCAAACAGTGCGGTAAACGTTTTTTGAATAATCACAATTTACGGCTACACATGCGCATCCACAGCAGTGTCAAACCATATGTATGCGGCATTTGTGGAGCTGCATTTTGCCGCCACAGTGCCTTTCGGGTTCATAAAATGAAACATGAGCAAAACTATCGTCATATATGTCCGATTTGTTCGAAGGGATTTTATGAAAAGCATGGTCTCGTTTACCATTTGAATACGCACAAGGAAACGAAAGATTTCGCCTGTACAATGTGCGATAAGGCGTATCGAAATAAAAGCACACTGAAACAACATATGATTACACACAAAGAGGGTCAGGAGTTTACCTGCCCAGTTTGTGGAAAAGAATATAAAAATAAATTGAATATATACAGGCATATGAAAAAACATAGGGAGGAAATGGCGGGAAAATTGACGCAAAGTAAGAGAGTAGAGAAATCATAAAAAAACCGGCACTTCGCCGAACACCCAAGAAAGAAGAAGAATGTATATAGATACATAATTAATAGTATATATTGGATAATAATTTTTCTCAAATATAACATTCTAATTTAATCTAGTATGTAATATAAATATTTATGTATGATAGACAAATACAAATTTTGTTAAATTATAAAATACTTAAATTAATATAAAACATTGCAAGGTAATGGTCTGATTTTAGTCTTGTTATTTATGGTACGACTTTTTTATTGTTATTATTTATTTATTATATTGCGAAATTGACAAAGCATTACCCAATGCACTCATTGTGTTAAATATAAATTTAAAGAATAGTTCCTACACTTTCAGGGCAGTAGGTTGGTACGGCTGTCATTCACATCCGTTCACTCAGAGACATTTGTCCAATGTGCTCATCCTTGATACCCCAAAAGAAAGGAGTGGAAAAGAGTGTAGAAAATTGGTCATTTTACCCTTTTCAAAATTTTAACAAAGCTTAGGATCTTTTTGGTGTCTTTTCCGGAGAAAAGTGCTAGTTTCGATTGGCCCAAACATTCTATATCCTCCACCATGAAGTTGACATTAAAAATATCTAAAATTAATGGGGATTCCAGAAAAACTAATTGTATTATAGGACCTTGGTAGTGGCTTCTTTTTTTAAATATAAATATACGCAACAGGTTGTTGTTTTTATTTGACATTTTTCCAAAACTAAAAACGTGAAAAATTAATGAAAGTTTATGATTTCTTTTATGGTACAATAATACAAGGCAGAAAAACTTGGGGTGAATAAAAAAAGTATTTAATTAAATTTGAATAAATTTCAATTTATTTGACATAGTATTCAAAGTAATATACAAAATATATTTTCATTTGACAGTCCAGGCCAAGATCTATTTATAAGTTACCGCTTGCTGGGTGTCAAAGTCAGCTGTTTTTTCTCAAATCTAATGTCAAAAGTTTGGACCAAGATCTATTAAAAAAGTCACCCAGGTAGCAATCGAAATCGCAAAACAGCTGTATTCTGTTTGTCTGTCAAATCTATAGTCAAAATTTTTGACTTTGTTTAGGTGTTCATAATGAAGTGGCAGCTGATAACCAGCTGGTCTCTCTGGATGACCTTATTATTAGACCATGGTACAGACCATGATGCAATAATAAGGTGATGTATAAAAATAAAAACATTTTTTTGTCTCGATTATCTGTCAAAATTTTCCTTATAATATTTCAAAAAGTTGGCTGCATTGCACATCGAATTCAAGTAAAATTGACCACTTTGACAGTTAATCAAGACATCAGCTGCTCTAAATGGACTACCTATTCATTGTGCAATGGTAAAGACATGGCATAATTGTACAAGGTAGTCTCATGCAGTCATATGTTTCAATTTTTTTTTATAATTTTGCCTTTGACAGTATTCAGCTTTCAAAATTTAAATGAAAATATTGATATTGATAGATGAGTTCCAAATTAATAAGGGTTGCCATGATCAAATTTTCAAATGAGACTACATTCTGCCATGTGTAAAAACTTATCAAAATATAATATTTTGATACAAAAAAGTCATAACCCTAACGTTCAGTCTGGGTACCATGCAATAAAATGTAAACAAAGCACACTTAACATACCCCTCAAAATATATTAAGAAAATAAACAAATGTATTAAAATAAATTTAAATTAAGAAGCTGCTGCCTAAAATGACTGAATATTTGGAATATATACAAATTGGTGTAGTTCTAAAATCACCCAAACCAATAAATCATAATTATCAATATATTTTAAAATGTGTACATGATCAATATTTTGAGCTGGAGGAATCATTTATGCTACCCTGCATTATCCATTGTGATGCAGTGGTATGTGGTGGTGGAGGTAATGTGGAGGACTCCGATGAAAAACCGGAAATTAGTTATGCCATTGAAAGTAATATTGAAGATGACGGTGAACTTCGTGCTGATGAGGATGTGAAGTTTGAAGATGCACAGAAAGGCCAAAATATGCGAGAAGGAAAAGTAAGTATTGGGCAGGTTTACTAGGGAGTGTGTGGAAGGGAATTTGTTGCCTTAATCGATTTTATTTTATTTACGAATGATCCCTAATTATGAATTATTTATTTTATCTCCAGGACCCATTAAACCTCATTGTTAGTAAGCCATTTGACTCTGAGCCTGAAGATGATAAAGTAACACTGGAAAAACAACCGTCTATGGAATTTCTAGATGATGATGTAAAGGAACCCAAAGAAGAGGAAGACAATGAAGATGAATTGAATAATGAAATGGAAATTGGGAATATTGAATATGATAATGAGGTATGCTGCCTTATGGTTTAAAATAATCTTTATATCCTCCATCATAGTATAAAAAGACGAAAATCATGTCTAAATATTCTGTATAAATACCACCGGACTTTATATAGATCAAATATTCTGTATAGAGAACACCGGTCTTTATTAGGACCAATTGGTCTGTATAGAGACCATCGGTCTTTATAAAGACCAATTGGTCTGTATAGAGACCATCGGTCTTTATAAAGACCAATTGGTCTGTATAGAGACCATCGGTCTTTATAAAGACCAATTGGTCTGTATAGAGACCATCGGTCTTTATAAAGACCAATTGGTCTGTATAGAGACCATCGGTCTTTAGACAGACCAAGTGGTCTGTATAGAGACCATCGGTCTTTAGACAGACCAAGTGGTCTGTATAGAGATCATCGGTCTTTAGACAGACCAATTGGTTTGTATAGAGACCATCGGTCTTTAGACAGACCAACGGTCTTTATAAAGACCAATTGGTCTTTATAGAGACCAACGGTCTTTATAAAGACCAATTGGTCTTTATAGAGACCAACGGTCTTTATAAAGACCAATTGGTCTTTATAAAGACCAATTGGTCTATATGGAGACCATCGGTCTTTATAAAGACCAATTGGTCTATATGGAGACCATCGGTCTTTATAAAGACCAATTGGTCTATATGGAGACCATCGGTCTTTATAAAGACCAATTGGTCTATATGGAGACCATCGGTCTTTATAAAGACCAATTGGTCTATATGGAGACCATCGGTCTTTATAAAGACTAATTGGTTTGTATAGAGACCATCTGTCTTTGTCAAGACCAGTTGGTCTTTATAAAGACCCGTTCCGTACTTTAAGAGCTTTATTGGTTAATAATTTATTTCCATTTTAGTCGACGGCCTCTGAAGATAATACCCCTTCAATCAGCGCATTTATTCAAAACTTCATCAAGTCACAAGAAAATCTAATATTATTTATTGAATTATATAAACAACAAGATGGACTGTGGAATCCGAATGTTAAAACGAAAAACCTAAAGAAATCCAAAGAAATGTATTTGAAAGAAATGAGAAAAGATTTGAAGAATCAATACCAAATTGATATGACAATAATACAAATTGAAAAAATCATAAAATATTTACATCGACGATACCAACGTTCACAGGAAGCATCCAAAATGGATGAAAATCCATTGTGGTTCATAAAGGAATTGGAATTTTTGGGACCCATTTACCAAACAGCCAAACCCAATGTTAAATTAAAAATACCACATTGTGATTTAAAAAGTAAACAAATTACCCAACTATTAGCCATTTATGAACGATATCCGAATTTATGGAATACCGATCTTATTGAACATTGTTGTAGAAATAAACGCAAAGAGGCAATTGAAGAAATGCTACAAACTGTCAACGCCGAATTGAATTGGGGTATTGATGAAGATCAATTAAAGGACTATTTGCAATTTATACACCAGAAATTTTCGAAAGAGAAACGTTTAGATATTAAAAATGAGAATTGCTCTCAGGCGAACAACAAAAAACACGTTTCATACTATAAACATATGTTGTTTCTTTATGATCATGTGGGACCCTTTAAATGTCCTCAATGCAATACGGAAAATAAGAACGCCCAAAGTTATAAAATACACAAATCCCAACATGATGGTTCCATGCCGATGAAATGTTCCCTATGCCAGAAAGAATTTAAAGTCGTCAGCACCTATGTTTTACATGCCCGTCGTCACATGAACGATTTGGAGGATGTTTGTCAGGAATGTGGTAAAAAATTCATTAATTCATATGATCTGCGGATACATATGCGTTCGCATACGGGTTCCAAACCATTTTGTTGTGAAATTTGCGGTGTATCTTTTCGTCATCTGCAAACGTTTACCTGTCACAAAAGACGTCACGAGAAGAACTATTTACATCATTGTCCGACATGTTCGAAGGGATTCTATAGCAAAGGTAAACTGGATGATCATATCCGGTCGCATAAACAAATACGGGAATTTAAATGTGAAACATGTGGTAAGGCTTTCATTACGAAAAAGACATTACAGCAGCATCTTGTGACGCATGAAGATATAAGGAAATTTGCGTGTTCGCTGTGTGGTAAAAGTTTTAAATTGAAAATTGGCCTTCATCAACATATGAGAACGCATGGTAATCAAAGATATGAACGACCCGAGGAGGTGGTATAATTGAAGAAGAAGAATTTATATAATGTATATATATATATATATATAGAATAGTATTATATAATATATTATTATTAGATAATAAAAATTGAAAAACATGAATGAAAATCTATCAAATTTATATTTCTATCGCTTCCACATCTTTCCTTTAATTGAGCCATTGCCATATATGTGTGTAACACATATGACAATGCTGGGAATAGCGAGTAATTCCTTCAAGAAAGATTTGCTTCCTCAAACTTTCCCAGCAGGCAGATTGAGTAAATTGAATACGGGAGCACATTAATAAAGAACAATTTCAAATTGTATGCGTTCCCAATTTTCCTGTTGGGTGATTTTTAAAAACATAATTTGTCAAATTTATATTGACACTAGTATTACGTTGGAATCAAATCAGCTGGGATTTGCTGTTACCTTTTATAATTGTACCATGGGCGTAGATATTTTAAAAATATTTATTTACGGTTCTTCCTAAGGCGTAGGTTTTTTACAAATCATTTTCAATGGTCTGCCAAAGGCGTAGATTTCTTAAAAATTATTTTCAAGGGTCTTTCAAAGGCGTAGATTTCTTAAATTTTTTTCAAGGGTCTTTCAAAGGCGTCTTTCACATCGGTTGGAAAATGCGGCTAAAGCCTTTAAAATACCGAAAAAAATGAGCCGACACCGTTATATAGGATCTACACGAAATCCTAAACGAATATTGAAAATGTTGACACCTCATGAGAACTTGAAATATTAAATTAGAGCCAATTCGGTTGAAAAATGTGCCAAAAACCCCAATTTAAAAATTCTAAGACGATCTAAGCATGTCCATCTGTCCGTCCGTCCGTTTGTTGTAATCACTCTAGCGTCTAAACGAGTTGAGATAGATCGCCAAAATTTTGCACAGAGTCGTCTCTTGTTTGCAGGCAGGTCAAGTTCGAAGATGGGATATATCGGTCCACGTTTAGGCTTAGCTCCCATATAAGGGTACCCACCAATTTTCCATATTTTGGGGTTCTTGAGCGCGTTTTTAACCGAATTCGCTGAAATTTGCTGCATAGGGTTTCCTATTGGGTACTAAATGTCTTCACAAAACATTATACATATAGGTCCATTTTTTGGTAGCCCTCATATAACGGTACCCTCTAATTTTCAGTATTATGGGGGTTTTGATCGTAGTTTTCAACCGAATTGGCTGTAATTTAACACTTTGAGTTCTTATTGGGTAGCTAATCTCTCCCCTAAAAATTATAAATATAGGTCAATTTTTTCTGGTCAATTTTTTCTGGTAATGGGGGTTACCATTATACGGGGGCTACCCGGAAACATTGGTATATGTTGTTTTTTTGGTAGGGACATGTTCTACTCAATAATAATCCAAAATATGAAATTACAGCTAATTTGGTTGACACCTCATATGAACCCTTAAAAATTAAATTAGAGCCAATTCGGTTGAAAAATGTGCTCAAAGCCCCCCAAAAATTCCGAATAATGGAGATTGCCAATATATGGGGGCTAACCGGAAACATCGACCAATATTGTTAATTTTTGGTAAGGGCATTTTCTATTCAATAAGAATACCAAATATTAAATTACACCCAAATTGGTTGAAACACATGGTCAAACTCCCCAAAATACCGATCTTTGGGGTGTAACGCTATATGAGGGCTTCCCTAAGAACCGGATCAATATTGATAATTGTTAGTATGAAGATTTACTACCATACCACAACACAAAATAACAAATTACAAGCAACTAGGTAGAAAAATGTGTCCAAAAACCTCAAAATACCGAATATTGGGATGGTACCGCTATATGGGGGCTACCCCGAAACATGGACCAATATTGATATTTTTTCGTAGACAGATCTGATAGCTAAAGTGAATCCAAAATACCAAATAACAGCTGATTATTTTGAAAAACGTGTCTAAAACCCAAAAAATACTGAATAATGAGGGGTACCGTTATATGGGGGGTACCCTAAAAAGGGGACGAATATTAATCATTTACGTTAGGAAGATTTGATACCCAATGAGAACCAAACGTACCAAATTACAGACAATTCGGTTGAAAAACGTAACAAAAATCCTCATAATACCGAATATTTGGGGGTATGATTATATGGTGGCCCCACTAAAAAGTGGACCACTATTGATTATTTTCGGTAGAATGATTTGATACCAAATGAGAACCAAACGTAGCAAATTACAGCCAATTCGGTTGAAAACATGTCAAAAATCCTCATCATATCGAAAATTTGGGGGCACCGTTATATGAGAGCTAAACTAAAAAGTAGACCGATGTATTCCTTTTTCAAAACCAAACATCCTAGAAGTAGTATTAATGTATGTGAATATTTCGGGTTATTACAATCCGAATGACAATATTGATATACACTCTAGGGTCTCTGTTGTCGGGTTTTTGTATGGAACGCTCCTCAATCAAACCATTCGTAGATCTCCGAGTGGTTTCAAATGCTTAGCGTCTATGACCAGCTCTGTGACCATTTAATGTCACCATCGATTTGAACGATTTTCCACAAATATCGCAACAATAATTCCCGGTACTGGAATGCATATTCTTATGTTTAAATAAACGTTCATTACCATGCAACCGTTTCGAGGGTAATTCTTTGCGATGTCTTCGTATGTGGGCAATAAGTGTTGATTTATTTCGATACGAGGCACCACATAATTCACAACAGAACGTTGTTTCTTTTGTATGTGTTAGGTGATGCTTTTTCAAATCTGCTGGCTTAGCAAAACGTTTGCCACCCACTAGACATTTTTCGCTGAGAGCATTCAGATGTCTTTGCGCATGCAATTTGTACAGTTTGCTATCTTTAAAATCCTTCAGTTGACATTTTAAGGTGGGCAACTCTTCGGCTGGATTTTCCTCCATGCATTCTTCATCGTCGTATAAATCCACTGGGACCTTAAAAAAATTATATTGATATAAATTACATTAAAATCAGACCTCAAACAATAAGTGTCTAGTAAAGAGTAGAGAGACTTACCTCCCTATTTGCCACAATTCCTTCACTTGTTTGACAATCTTCCTCCTCCGCATTATCTTCGTAAAAATTATTCTCATCATATAAAACAGAGGCATTATTTTCAGTGTCTTTCGATTTAATGTCAGCATCTTCACATACCTTTCTAGAAATTTTATATTCCAGTTGATTATCATCAGAAAACTGTTCATCCTCCATCTCTAATAAATATTCCTAAAAGAAAAATTTATGAATTATTAGATTTTTCAATTGAAACGTCGTTACCAATTATTTATTTTCAACCATACCTCATTTGTATCCGACTTTTCTATTTCAATACTATGAACTTCATTTGTTGTTCTACTTCTTTTTTTGCTCGGCTGTTCGTGGTGGTTATCTTTCAATTTAAGTTCATTTTTATCGTCCATTTGAAAATGTCCAATACAATGATTTAGAAAAGATTCTACAACCGAATAAATATCACCACAATGATTACATTTCAAAATATAGGGATCTTTGTAGTCACACGATGAGGCTATTAGAATTTCACCACAACGTAAATAACGTAAAATGTCTTTAGACGATTGAAGCTGAAAGAAAAATAACAAGTAAAAATATTAGTAAGATCGGCCAGGTCAAACTTTGTATATCCTCCAACACGTAAGGGCCCACACGAAGCGGAACTCTACCCGGAAACATGGGCCAATATTGATAAATTTTGGTAGGGAGATTTTCTACTCAATGAGGATCCAAAATATGAAATTCCAGCTAATTTGGTTGAAGCGGGTGTTCAAGCTCCCCAAAATACTGAAGTTTAGGATGTAGCGTTATATGGAAGATTCCCTAAAAAGTGAACCAATATTGATCATGTTAAGTTAAGTAAGTGGAGGCAATTCGGTTAAAAAACGTGTCCAAAATCTCCAAAATAGCGAATAATGGTGGTTACCATTATATGGTGGCTACCCGGAAACATGGACCAATGTTGATAATTCTCGGTAGGGACATTTTCTACTCAATGCTAATCCACAATATTAATTTTCTACAAATTCGTTGAAACGCGTGCTCAAGCTTCTCAAAATACCGATCTTTGGGGTGTAGCGTTATATGGGGGCTTCCCTAAAAGGTGGACCAATATTGATAATATTTAGTAGGAAGATTTACAACCACACCAAAACCACACTACAACCACACCACAACCCAAAACAACAAATTACAAACAATTAGATAGAATCGTGTCCACAAAACCATCAAAAGATCGAATATTTGGCGTACCATTATATGGGGGCTACCCTGAAGCATATGTCAATATAGATACTTTTTCGTAAAAATAGATCTGATAGCCAAGTGAAACCAAAATACCAAATTACAGCTGTTTTAATTGAGAAACTTGTTAAACATCTCCTTACCACCCTTGGTAGAGGGAGGAAGAAATCCTACCATCTTCACTGATGCACCCTAAAGTGCACCCACTCGTCTCCCTAAGCAGAACGCCCGATTTCATCATCTCCGAACGCTGCACTTTCCTTAATCATAGGAAAGACAACTGGCAAGGATTCAGAGAGTTCACCAACCAGTGCTTTAGAAAACTTTCCATTCCTTCTGATGTACCCATACAAAGGAAATTCCGAGACATCATTACAGCTGCAGCCGCCAGATTTAATCTGCTGGTCGAATGCCCGATATGAGACCTAATTTCCAGCAGCAGTTAGCAGCAGATTTCAGGCTCAGGGAACTTACGTTGGAGGTCAGCAGATTAGTCGCGGAGCATAAGCGGAATAAATGGTTAGAGCATCATGGGCAACGATTAAGTCGCTCTCGAACTCTGGATGATAGGACCTCAGTTTCCGCGATAGTTTAGAGGAACAAAGTAAGGAAATCGTCGACCAGTTAGACAGACTTATACCGGAAGAGCAATGTGGGGATACGCTTCCCGAGGAACTGCTACTAAATCTCACCCTGACTAATGATGAGCTGGACACCACGGTGATCCCAGCCAAGTCTATACAGGGGGATTGTTGTAGCATAAACGAAGGAAGCGTAGACCCTGTTGTCCGACCGACTTCAAATCTGACACCAACAGGTTTTGTGTCGGCACTTGCCGACAATAAACTTCTGAGGCAATCTGCGACGGAGGCAATGTCCGACGATGGGGAATCTGTCGAGACCCCAGCAACGGACAGCGGCTCAAATGTTGGGAAAGCCCGAGAAGTAGCTGATGCGAATTTAACTACTTACATTTTTATTGCATCCGGTGGGACTTTCAAATTCGTATTCAATAAAGACTTCATTGGCATTTTTGTTGTCACTTTCGTCATTTTCATTTATCTAATATTAATAAAAAAAAGAAATATTTTAAAATTATAAATAATTCACATAATTTAAATACTTACCTCCAAATCCTTTAAATTATTGCAATAATATGGCCTCAAAAATTCCATTAGATCGTAACACCATAATTTCGGTTTCAAATCCGGTCTTTTTTCCAGTCTCGTTAAATCTTCACGATATTCCATTGTCAATTTATGAATTTCATTATTAATATCCTCTTCGGTGATATTCGAGTAGTGTCTATTCAATGATTTGCATATATCCTGTATTGATTTTGATTTTTTTGCATTATTGAAATAGTGAGGATGTTTTTTATTATACAAATTGGGATATTGTTGATATTTCCTTAGTAATAATTCCAACATTTCTTTACTCCATAGTCTGGAAATGAATAATTTTTTATTAATTTGAATTTGTAGGATATTTTATTTGAGATATACCTATCTGGTAGATCCTCTGCTTCGCTATCTTCTTGGGATTCGAATTCAATATGCACTTCTTCATAGTCCAACGAGTGGGAGCTTAGTTCATTAGCCTTTTTATAAAAGAAGATTAAATTAAATTTACATTAAATTTTTAATTTCATTGTCCTAATAAAAAAATCTACCTACCTCCGGGTCGTTACTCAATACCTCCTCGTCAATCTAAAAAATAAATGGGCATATTCAATTCCAAATAGAAATAAAGAAATAATTAAAAAATATTTGTATTTTACCTCATTTGCTGTGTAATTGCCCTTCACAACACAATGGGTCTCGAGAAATGCCAATTGCTTGAAACACCATAGTTTTGGTGTAGCCTTTTCATTACACCCGGCTTCTTTATTTTTATTCAATTCGCGCAATTCTTTAAGATATTGCGTTCGCAGAGTATGTATTTTCTTTTTAATATGATTTACAGTTATATTTCTGTTGATTTTCTTCAGGGCTTTACAGATGTCATTAAGCGATTTGATTCTAGCATTTCTATATAAATATTGGGGATTTTTGGTATTATATAAATGATCGTATTTACGATATTTTGAAATTAATAATTGAACCAATTGTTTATTCCACATTCTGGAAAGAAAAAAAATAGATTTTATTATAATTAAAACAAGTGAAAAGTGTGCTATGTTTCGTGAAAATCGATTGAGATTTCGATATAGCTCCCATATGTAGTGGCGCATTTAGATTTGAAGTTCACCTTCATTTCTGAACGCTATAATATGCCATAAGGGGAAATGCTATAATTTTTTTTTTTGATGATAGTGGTGAAACTTTCTTTAACCTTTTTTTTTGTTAGTATGTTCTTATTTCATACATTTGTACATGCACAATACATCAATTGAGTGCTTTTACCATGTCTTTGTGCTAGAAAAGTCGCCATAATGGTTTTTTGAAATTTAAGATAGTATTGGTTATTCAGCCGTTTTTTTATTGGTTTTAGCCGAGGATACAAAAGGGGGTAATTGAGGAGACATTTTGATCTTTTTATCTTAACCTCGAAGCTGTTCACCTGCAAAGTTATTTGAACGTTTGAAAAGAAAAGTTTATTTTTTTTTTGCATTTTTGCAAGTCATAACCAACAAGTTTTATCAAAAAAAAAAAAAAAAAAAAAAAAACTTTGAAGTTTTCCTAATTGCTTGTAAAACAGCCAGCCAGTTGTCAAACGTGGTTGTAATTGTTGGTGAAATAATTTTCTTTTTCCTGTTTCCACGATTGTTGGAATAAATTCTTGCCGGAGCAAGGAACTCTAAAAAAAACTTGCAGTACTGAAACTTAACTGGTGGCCCAGATACATGTTTTTATTGGATTCTTTGGAGTTCCTGTTTTTTTTACTTGGCAACAGTACCATATATGCTCTATGTCGTTGTTTTCACTTGGATTCCCCCTCATTTCCCTGCCTTGATACACCGATGCCGTCCATAAGCTGTTATGTCTGCCAAACTTCTTCAACAACATTAGGTGTTTAGTGGCTTCGCATGCTTTAAAGCGATCGGTAGTTTTGTTGGAAATCTTATAATTATTAATATTTGAGTGCGGGTATTCCAAGTGAAGAAAAAAAAACAAAAATTTAAATATTACGCTATATTGGTAGTTTATCCCGTCAAAATTATTATTAATACCCATATATTTTTTATTGGTTGCATTAGTTTTCTAAAAAAAAAAAAGAAAAAATGTAAAAAAATCAGAAACATTCGGCATTGAAACGAAAGTGAGTGTTTGTGTGGTTAACCAAATTGAAGGCCAGAGAACAAAATAAGAAAAGTACAGATCAAAGTGAAGATCATTTTCTGTTAAAAGTTCATATGATAAGTGTTTTGTTTGAGAAGAGAGAACAGATCCAACGACTGTTAAATTGGTTAATTTGCGGGAGTTTGCTGTTGTAATTATCAACCAACCCATTCTGGAAGGCCTTTCAACGTGGGAGCTCCGACATATTCAAAGTAAGTTAACTCTCTTTAACTTCCATCAAACCACCATCAACCAACCAATCGATCTATTGTACAGAGAGTAAGCGGGTGAACCGTTATTGCTCTCACGTTCCACAAGATATTTGCATTGATATTTTTAAATATGCAAATATTTTGCTGATATTATAAAATGATCATAAAAATTTTTAAATGGCTTTAAAATTACTTGTTTTGCAATTAAAATATTTCTAAAGGATACGGATGTTGATGGTTGTTTGAATTTTACTCGCTATGCAAAAAAATGTACAAGTGTTGGATGTGTTAATGTTAAGTATTGGGTTAACAGGCAGCACGCTGTTGCGAACAATTGGCGCTGTTAACTATGCTGTTGAGAGAACATAGTTTGAAAAGCACTGCTTTAATGTATTCTTTGCTAATGATTTTCTTTCTTATTTTAAATTAATTTTATTTTGTTTCGCTTTCAATAACAAATCCAACATTGTATATTTTTTGAAACCCATTTGCTTTACATATGAATTTATTTTTGGGGAATGATCTTCAAATAATTTAACTTGAACTGAAAATATAAAAAAAAATCTCCGATTGCAATAATTTGTGCTTGTGTTGATGATGACTGTAAAAGGTCAATGTACCTAACAGCTGTTCATATGAAGGAAACAGAAACACACAAACATATACAGAACTGATTAAAGATTCTTTTTTTTTTGCAATTTCACATCTAACGTTCAAGCCCGAATTTTGTTTCTGAATTTTGAAATTCTATTTTTTTTAAAAAAATTTAAAAATTTTAACTTATGTTTTTCAATAATATAATTTTATAGAGATACATTTAGTATAATTTTGATACGTAATTATTTAGCTATTTTTAGTTTTTTTCTGATTTTTTTGTGGAAATCATTAGTAATTGGTCAAGTATTTGATATCGGTGATAAATATGATAGTTTCAAAAATATTGAATGTTAAAATCTTTATAAATTTAGGATTTTCAACATTTATCTGAATTTTTTCTTTTTGGGTAGTTTTAATGAATTTTATTTTCAATAAATTTTTGGTATTGTTAACCATGTGCTAAACGAATGTTCTAAGTTTAATTTGAAACAGGGGTCAGAGAAGTAACATAGGGTAAACAAATATGGGTTTGCCATATGTGTTAAACAATTTATTTTTGTTTTTGGATTTTCATGGCAAACAGGATGGGAGGGCTAACCATGCATCTACAGCTAAGCATGGCATTGTCAAATTATGAAGGAAATAGACTCCTCTTTTCTATATTTTGCTTTGGACTATAGATATCCTTCTTCATATATCCCTTTCCTTCTTGTACTTCTTTCTATCATTTATGCACGCATTATAATTAAATAGACTGGTAGTTGGCATAATTTCTTGATGAATTTTTGGCAAGATCCCACCCCAACGACGAGCAATAAGGCTGGTGAACTATGCGTGCCAGGCCATATGATTCATCTGAAAATATCTACAGGAAAATTGTAATCGATTTAACCCATGCATGCTACAATATGGGAGCTATATCTAAATCTGGACCGATTTTCACGAAACTTGGCAGACAACACTCTAGGCTTAATTCAGTACGTTATGCCAAATTTCGTGCAAATAAAAAGATATATAGGGACTTTGGGGCACCATTTACATGAAATCGGACGAAACTATATATGGGAGCTATATCTAAATCTGGACCGATTTTCACGAAAATTGGCAGACATCATTATAGGCCTAAATGATTAGCCTGTACCAAATTTCGTGTAAATCGAAAGATATATAGGGACCGTTTACATTAAATCGGTTAAATATATATATGGGAGCTATATCTAAATCTGAACCGATTTTTCCCAATTTCAATAGGGTTCGTCCTTGGGCCGAATAAGTGACCTATGCCAAATTTCATCCAATTCGGATCATAAATGCGACCTGTACTTTGTTTACAATTTAACATGGACAGACAGACGGACGGACGGACGGACGGACATGCATAAATCGACTTAGAAAGTGATTCTATGCATATTCTCAAAAGAAACCATGTGTCTATCTCGTTTCCTTTTGCCTGTTACAAACATATGCACAAAGATATAATACCCTGTACCACAGAGTGGTGAAGGGTATAAAAACCCCATACACACACCATTCTGAAATCAATGAAAAATTGCATTCAAACGGACAGACTTGGATTCTTTGGTGTACCATTTGTATGAAATCGAGTCAAATTATGTATTGATTCGGATACGTTTTTCTAAATTTCCACATATTTCGTCTTAGCGAAAATGTATCTCAAAGAATTGCACTGTTATTTATCTATGCCTTCCTTCTTTATCTGATTAGTTTTTATCTTCGGCTTTAACCACGTCGAACATGACAATTTGGAAGAAACAATGTAAATGAGTATGATTTACATAATAAATAATTTGTTGGTTGTGTGTGTGTGTTTTTTCAATCAAAATACTGCTCAACTTTGCTATCTATGACAGTCTCTTTGAATTGCCTTTTTGTCAAAATTCCAGTGCAATTTCAGAGAATATAAAAAATAAAAATCATTTTACTCAAAACTCAAAAAAAAACTCAAAACTCACATATCGTGACATAACATAATGTTATACCACACCGACATCTATATTTCATTCGTGACTATAAAATGTCCTATCTTTATACTTTTATGTCTTTGATTATTTCAGGTCTTTGGCCTCATGATGACTCTTACTTCATACATTCACCAATTCGAATATTTTGGAGAGTTTTTGGACACCTTAGTTACATATTCCTGCAACAGATGTCACTAGAGTTGACAAGACTGCCAATACAAATGTAAAGCGGAACTTTTATTTTTTAACACTCCGAAAAACCAAATTTTCGTTCTCCATTATATATTGTCACCGAATATATACGATTTTGTAATAAATATAATTTTTTATTAATATCCCGCCATTAATTTCAATTACGGCGCCTTACGTCCCATTACGTATACCTTACGTACTCTTTTGCCTTGTCTAACTACAAACTCTCCCATTTTACTTTGACATTACTCTCCATTGAAAGAATGATTTGAAAGCAAAACCAACAACAACACAACAATTTTTACAAATCGCAATGACATTTTGCCGGTTAGCCTGTTCAAGCTATAAATTCAATCTGGTTCGTTCAGTACCACGTGAACTTCGTTGTTTATCTCTTCAAGCCACCGGACGTGCCGCTCCAACAAATAAATCCCCAAACATGTCCCTCAATGAAGCCAAGAAAATCGCTGCCTATCGTGCCGTCGATGAGTGGGTTAAAACCAAAACAGCCGTGGGTATTGGTAGCGGATCAACAGTTGTCTTTGCAGTTGACCGTTTGGCGGAACGTGTAAAGAACGAAGGGTTAGAGGTGGTCTGTGTACCCACCAGTTTCCAAGCACGCCAGCTGATTGTTGAGAACAATTTGGTATTGGGTGATTTGGATCGTTATCCCAAATTGGATGTCGCAATTGATGGTGCCGACGAAGTTGACAAAGATATGGTGCTCATCAAGGGTGGTGGTGGTTGCCTGCTACAAGAGAAAATTGTTGCCTCCTGTGCCGAGAAACTTATCATCATAGCGGATTATACGAAAAATTCCCAAAAGCTGGGTGAACAATACAAAAAAGGTGTACCTATTGAAGTGGTCCCCATGGCTTATGTTCCTATTAGGGAAAAAATCCAACAACTATTTGGTGGTGAATTGAAGCTGCGTATGGCTGTGGCCAAGGCTGGACCTTGTGTCACCGATAATGGTAATTTCATTTTGGATTGGCATTTCCCCGCAAGTGCTGATTTCAATTGGACCGAAGTGAATCGTGATTTGCTGCTGATTCCCGGTGTCGTGGAGACAGGGTTGTTTGTCAATATGGCCACCAAGGCCTACTTTGGCATGGCTGATGGTTCGGTGAAGACTCAGGAGAAGTAATTTTTAAAAAGGAGAATATTTTTTTAGTAATATAAGTATAAACCATTCTCGTAACTAATTCTTAAGTCCATAGTTCCATAGATTTTTTTTTGTGTGAATCTGCCATATTTTTGTAAAAAAAGCATAGCTTTTTTAATAAAGTTTTATATAAATTATAAATCATAAAAGGGAAGAGACGATAAGCTATCTCTCAAGGTCAAGTGTAATACTTTGGACTTGTTTGTGTGTGTGATGTTCTTGTCTAAGAATCAGCAAAGCCATAAAGCTGATTAGCATACATTTTTTTATGAAAGATCTATATAAGGTATTTTATTTGTATGGAAAATCTGTAAATGGTTTTCTAATTATCTGGAAGACCTATAGGGGCACTCCCAATACTAAATAACTTGGAGAGCTTCTGTAGGTCTTCTGAATAATTAGATGGGTCTAAACTATATTTTTACGCGCCCTTAGTAACGCGTGGATTTATTAAAAAATATTTTTAACGACCCTCAATAGGCGTGGATTTATTAAAACATATTTTTAAGGACCCTCAATAGGCGTTGATTTATTAAGATATATTTTTAAGGACCATTATCAGGGCGTGATTTTTTTAAAATATATTTTTAAGGACCCATATTAAGGCGCGAATTTATAATAAAGGAAGTCCTATAGGGACACTTTTAATCATTTAGAAGACCTCTGTGAGGTCTCCAGATTATTAAGGCGCGAATTTATAATAAAGGAAGTCCTATAGGGACACTTTTAATCATTTAGAAGACCTCTGTGAGGTCTCCAGATTATTTAGTAGACCTCTAGGAGGTCTTCAAATGATCAATATGAGCCATAAGAGTTCTCTCAATTATTAAGTAGACCTCTAGGAGGTCTTCAAATGATCAATAAGAGGCATAAGAGTTCTCTCAATTATTAAGTAGACTTGTAGTAGATCTCAAAACTTATTAGAAGACCTGTAGGAGGTCTTCTAAGTGTATAGAAGGTCTTTAGGAGGCCCCTATTTATTTGAAAAAACTGAATTAGACCTTCTAATTATTTAGAAGACCTAGAGAAGTTATCCTTATTATTAAGAAGGCCTGTATGAGGTCTCCTAATTGCCAGGAAATCCCATAGGAGCTCTTCCAATTATTTAGAAGGCCTGTAGGTGGTCTTTAATTGTCAAGAAGTCCTATATGGACTCTTCTAATGATTTAGAAGATCCGTCTAATTACCAAGAAGATTTGTAAGAACTCTGTAGATTATTTAGAAGACCTGTAAGAGGTCTTCAACTTATCAATGAGAGCAATTAGAGTTCTCTTGATTATTTAGTAGACCCGCAGTAGATCTCGTAACCTTTTAGAAGATTTGTAGAAGTTTTTCTAATTATCAAGAAGGCATGTAGGAGCTCTTATAATTATTTATACGGCCTAACAGATCCCGAATAATTATTTATTAGACCCGTTGAATAGGGAAAGTGATTTTGCGGATTTTTAAGTCGTTCTTCAACCAAATCGGCTGTAATTTCAAATCTTGGATTCTCTTTGAGTAAAAAATCTCCTTAACAAAAATAATCGACATTGGTCCACTTTTAGTTGTAGCCCCTATATAACGGTACATTCAATTTGACTGGTCTTGAAGAAGTCGTCTAACCGAATTGGCTGTTATTTGGTATTTTGTGTTCGCTTTGGGTAGAAAGTCTCCCTACCAAAAATTATCGTTATTGCTCCACTTTTAGGTATAGCCCCCACACACCTAATCCTCCGATTTTCGATATTTCGAATATTTTGGACACATTTTCCATTCAAATTGACTGTAATTTTATATTATGGGTTTTCTTTGCGTAGAAAGTCTCCCTACCAAAAATTATCAACTTTGGTCCACTTTTAGATATAGCCCCCATATAACGGAATCCCAATTTTCGGGATTTTGAGGAAGTTTCCCAACAAAATTAACTGTAATTTGAGGTTTTTTGTTAGCTTTAGGTATAAAATCTCCCTACGAACTATTACCAATATTGGCCCAGTTTTAGGTATAGCCCCCATATAATGGCATCCCGATTTTCGAAATTTTGACTGTATTTTTATATTTTGGTTTCTCCTTGAGTAGAAAGCCTCCCTACCCTAAAATTATCAATATTGGTCCACTTTTGGTTATAGCCTCCATATAAGGATACCTCCAATTTTCGGTTTTTTGAAAATATTATTCTAATAGAATTACTTGTAATTTGATATTTCGGATTCTCATTAGGTAGTAAATCTCTCTACCAAAAATTATCTATAATGATCCACTTTTGGTTAACGGAATCTCGATTATCGGGATTTTGAAGAAGTTTTTCAACCATGTTAGCTGTAATTTGGGTTAAAAAATCTCCCTACCAAAAATTAGCAATATTGGTCCACTATAAGGTGTAGGACCCATTCAGCAGAACCCACGAATTTTTGTTTTTTTTTTAATTATTAAATTCATAACCTTTTTTTTGTTCTTTTTGTTACTTTACAAAGTCTTTTCGTTTGGGGTAAATAACTAAATACAAAAAAATATATAGAAAAAAGATTTCTAAACTATTAATATCTCACTCGCAGATATTATTGATATATTACCAGCATCCTTGATTCCTTTTTTCATTTAACTTAAAACGACTTTTTATTGCGACCAGGCATAATACTATTTTTCAAATAATTAAACAGCGACAATAGACCCTGTTTTTTGCCACGTGAAAAGTAATTGCTAACAACATCTTGATCCCCGGCCAGGTGGCTATCATTGACAGTGGTGGGTAGGACATTATCGTTTGCACTCAGCGATACAAACAATGCAAATGGGACCATCCACAGGCAAATTGTGAAGTAGGCCAAAATCTGTAACGAGGAACAGAAAATTATTAAAAATCTAAATTTTTAATTCCAAATCGAGCAACATACCTGTGTAAATGGATAGTACACCGATGTGAAATATTGAAAAGCCAAGAAATGATTGGCTATTAGACATCCCACCGTACCAATAAACGGCAGCGAAAGGAATTTAATAAACGGAAATGTGCTCATAATGGCCAGGTGCAGTAGCTGTGTCACAAATCCCATTATAATCATGCTCCAGGGTAGATCATCACAGAAGATGAACATCACATAAACGAACATGGTAAAGCTAATCATCATTAAGATCATTTTTCGCGCCGCACTTGTATACTCCTCCACCAGTTCGGCAATGTAGTAGAGGCCGGCAGCTAAAACAAAAATAAAATTGGTGCTTTAAAATTCCAGTCGCATGCTAGGTCCAATTACCACTCACCTATTGATATGGTTACAAAAACAATTTGAAATATCAACGCTATCCAACTTAAAATGTACATAAAACCCATGATTAATAATTCCGAAATGCGTTGGACCCGTATATAAATTCACTACACAGAAGTACGTCTAATGATGATGTTATTTCTTTTGTTGTTGTTGTTTCCTGTTCTTGTCAAATTATGTTGCAGCTGTCATTTATGTTATATCACAAACCGACATATATCTAATATATATTTAATTATTATATATATTTTTTACACAAATTTTTGTTTAATAACAAAACAACATTTCCACACAGGCAAAAAATTCCCAATTCGAAAGGCGGCTGTCGCTGACTGTAAATAACTGAAACGTCATCATCAGCTGTACGGAGACAACAACAAAACGAAAACTAGGTAAACAAAACAAAATTAATGACAATTCACGGATGAAAACCAAACCAATCAAAAATGCAGGGTTTTAAAAATCGACAACATTTTTGGAAATCTAAATATAAGGTCACGCGGCAGATAGAAGGAGTCAACGACGCTGATAGGTTTCGAAGATTACTATCCAAGGATCCGAGGTCCATCGGAAGTATCAACAACCGAACCTGCTCTAATCTACAGCATAATTAGAAACCTAAAGTGGTGGGTAAAGTGAAACCTTGACACGTATATATCTTCTGTCTTATGTATATAGCCATCGACATTATTCCAATTTTATATTCTTATATCTTTCTGTAAGCTTCTCATCTCTCTTTATTTCCCCAATATTTTTTCCCCTATAGATCTATCATTATCTCTTTTCTTCTCGTAGATGATCACAACGGACCTAACGGTCTCAGAGTGTTGCAGCCACATAAGCGACTGCACATCCGTAAACCTAACTTAACCTAAGGTCACACAGCAAGCGAAAGTCAGCTGTTTCTTCAAGTCAAGTCTAAAGGGGGAAACACATACGTGGATACAGGCCTGGCCTTTTAGGTTAGTTTTGTATAAAATCCCAAATTATAAAGGAATGTCAAATTCAAACTTGAATTCGGACGCCGTTCCCCTTTTACAATAAAAGGAGCCAACTTAACATACTAATCCCTTAAGGGCAAAAATTTCACCGTTTGTTACGTTTTCACAATGAAAGTCAATTCTCAATAATGGATTTTGACAGCAAACTTGAGTAGCAGCTGATATGCCTCTGAAGTTCCTGGATGACCTTATATATAGGCCTTGGCCAATAAGATCATCCAGAGAGACCAATTGGGCTAGTCAAAACTGATAAAAATCAGTATACGACTGACAGGACTGCTTTAAAGGCAGACCGCGACTGAAGCGATGCCCGACCATGGGGAATCTATCGAGAACCCAGCAGCGGACATAGATTCAAAGGTCGGAACTGCCCGACAAATATACGATACGAAGCACTATAAACGTTCTGTATCTTATCTTCGCGAATTCGTAGAGCGAATTTGCGAATTTGTCCCTCAGAACAAATCTGTGATGCGCATTCTCTAATCAGAATGTCCACAGCCTTCACCCAAAAAGACGATGACTTCACGTCTGACTGACCCATCTACATCGTATGCAGCTGTCGTTCAGCAAGAAACTGCGGAGAAGAAACCTAGTACAGAGAAGGCATCAACCTCCTGTGGAAAGGCAAACTTCAAACTTCTGGTCAAAGACAGAAAAAGCCATACGACAGACCGACCGCGGTAGCTGATGATGATGATCTTCAAGTGGCAATCATCGACAAATTTAATCGTTATGGTAAGTACGATTAGAGATGCATAAAGTAATAAACTGCTTGAAGAGCAAATCGAAAGATTTCCTTGTGAGAACTGTTGACGCACTCTGTTTGGCGCACTCTGGGTCATCCTTGCTGAGGTCTCCTTATCTGATATCCAGACTGATTCTCACAGCCTGGGTTCCCACAACTTCGATGGACAAAGAACTCCTGCTGAAAATGTTGGCGCTGCAGAATCCCAGCCTCACTGACTCGAGTTGGACTGTTGCCACCTTTACTCCTAGTAACGAAGATGGAGGGAGGGAAAATTGAATTTCGGTTCAGGATGGGTTCGGTTTCTACTGAGCACATCTATGAAACTATGAAATAATAAGATAAGAGGATCCGCACCCACCAAACCTAAGTGTCCGCAATATGCCCAACAAAATCCGAGAAAAATATACTTTAAATAAATTTCGCATTTTAGAAGCCTTGAAAATATTAAAAAAATCCACGTTTTTTATAATTCAGGTTTTTGTTTGTTGTTATCTCATTTTGGACAGTTAATTGTCCCAATACCTGTGCGTTATTAAATCTGCCTTGGCTTCCCTGTTGTGCAATGTTTAGTCCATGGCACAATAAATAGGTAGTCCATTTAGCGCAGCTGATGTCTCGATTAACTGTCAAAGTGGGTAATTTCTACTTGCATTTGATGTGCAATGTTGCCAACCATGTGAAATCTTATATGAAAAATTTTGACAGAAGGTCGAGACAAAAACAAAGGTTTTTGTTGTGATACATCACCTTATTATTGAATCATGGTTTAGTCAATTGGTCGCCTAACGATCCCTATTTAATTTCATGAGATTGCGAAAACAGTCAACCGCCTTGCTGACTTGCGGTAGCCCTAATCGGCAATTCTCTCCATGTCTCTTTCTCAACAATGCGCTCTTGTTAAGCGGTCTCCATTACATCGCATTCGTAAATTTTCCATTTTGCGCTTTGGGTTAGTTCTTTATCGGCCATTTTTGTCTTCTCCCCCATTTATAGCGAATGGAACGTTTTTAATTAGAGTTAGGCACCAAAGGCATCACTCACAATTCATCACGTTGAAAGCTTTGACTGGCACAAGCGTGCAAAAGCAAACGAGCAAACGAAGAAGCGGAATTTGTTAGAATTATTTTTGCAAATAAATTAAAATATCCTTATCGAAGGATTAAAAAGGATATAAAACAAACGAAATTAAAGAAAAAACGTTACGCGTATTAAATTGTTGTAACAACAAAAGAGTGATAACAATTTCAAAACGCCAAACGGAGAAGAATTGAATTTGCAAAAGTCAAACAAAAAGAAAAGAATTTCTCGAAACAGTGCGAAAAAAAAAGAAAAGAAGAATCGAATCAACGACGACAAAACGTGTTGAGTGAGAAAGCAAAAGCAATCGTAGCAAAGATAAAAGTACAGGAAGAAGTGTTCCAAAAAACAGAAAAGACAGGATTAACTTTGCTGCATGTGCGTTCAGTTTAGGCAACATTGCGAAGGAAGTCCGACAGTAGTGGAATTTTTTTCGATAGTGTTGAGTGTTAGGTTAGAAACGAATACGCGTTGTGTTTTAATTGTGGTGTGCTAAAAGCAGAAAGAGTATCCCTTCCCTGCTCACATTAGTGAAGAAAAAAAAACGAAAGTGAGTGGCAACTGGCCTGTGGCTAAAAGAAGGCAGCTACGAAAGGCAAGCTAGTGTCGGGGGCTGCGGTAACAACAACAAAAAAATATGACAAACAATACTATGGAATTGCCATCACAAGAGGTGGCCGAAGGTGGTGGAGAGGGTGATCAACAACAGCAGCAACAACAACAGCATCGTCTGGCAAATGAAAACAATAACACAGAGGAGGAAAATAATGTACAGCCAGCCAGTAGTGAATCGCAACAGCCAGCACAACAAAATAATACAGTAGGACAGGAGCAAGAACTCTCGATGGTAAATGGTGGAGAAGATCAACAGGCCCATGAAAATATGGAAGTAGATCATGAACCACATGCTGCTGTTAATGGTGGTGAAGCTGAGGAAGAGCAACAACCTGCCAATGGTGCCGGTGGCGGCAATGATTCAGATGCCGACAATGCTGATGATAATGCTCCTGCCGCTGAACCATTCTATGGCTTCGAAGAATCTGAACCCAATTTGGAGGAAAAAGATATGCCACAAGTATTACAATTTTGGGAATCTAAACATACCCAATCGGGTTTTGATCCAGTGCCGATATTGAAAAGGTAAGTTATTATTTTTTTGCATTATTTAATAGTTTTGTGAAATTATCAGCAGTCAGTTCGACATGGGTGAGTTGGTGTGAGTGCGAGCTGGTTGGCACATAATTAATTGCTTGTATTGGTATGATTTTTTTCAATTTCTTTAAGGCACCATTTGATGATGACGTATGGCCCCCCTAATCATTATAGAGACAAAGGTGGTCGTATGAAAAACACAACAACAAATAAATGATTAGCATAGGCAAAGGGTTGGGGGTGGTGGTCATGAATGTGGAAGTTCATTGGAATTCAATAATATTTTAAAATAGATTTTTGGGCCGTGTTATCTACAACCTTAGCGATACCTCACACCAAATCCAATATGATAATGACCCAAGGGCTTATCTGATAATGAAGGGCAAGATTTTTTCTTTCACATGAACAGAAATTATAATTGTCTCTAAAAATAATTTTTAAAAAATCCACGCCTATAGGCAGACTCTAAAGAATATTTTTAAAAAATCCACGACTATAGGCAGACCCTAAAAAATATTTTTAAAAAATCTACGCCTCCTGTCCTCTCCGTCCGTCCATCTGTCCATGTTAAATTGTAAACAAAGTACAGGTCGCATTTTTGATTCGAATTGGATGAAATTTGGCACAGCTCATTTATTTGGCTCAAGGACGAACCCTATTGAAGTTTGGAAAAATCGGTTCAGATTATAGATATAGCTCCCATATGTATTTTCGTCTGATTTTAGGTAAATGGTGCACCACAGTCCCTATATATCTTTCGATTTGCACGAAATATGTGAAATGATATGTGTTAAATTTCGTGATATGTGTTAAATAATCGTAAATGGTGTACCAAAGTCCCTATATACCTCTCGATTTGTACGAAATTTGGCATATCGTACTGAATTGAGGATAAAATTATGAGTGGTGAGTTTCGGGAAAATCGGTTCAGATTTAGATATATCTCCCATATATATTTTCGTCCGATTTAAGGTAAATGGCGTACCAAGAGCCCTTAATATCTTTTGATTTGAACGAAATCTGGCTCAGCGTGATGAATTAGGTCTAGAATGATGTGTGTTAAGTTTCCTGAAAATCGGTTCAGATTTGGATTTAGCTCCCATATATATTTTCGTCCGATTTAATGTAAATGGTGCACCACAGTACCTGTATATCTTTCGTTTACTAAATTAAGACTAGAGTGATGTGAAGTTTCGTGAAAATCGGTTCAGATTTAGATATAGCTCCCATATATATTTTCGTCCGATTTTAGGGAAGTAGTACACCAAAGTCCCTATACATCATTCGATTTGCACGAAATTTAGCGTAGCCTACTTAATTAAGTATAGAGCGATGTGTGTCGAATTTCGTGAAAATCGGTTGAGATTTAGATGTAGCTCCCATATATATTTTCGTCCGATTTAAGGTAAATGATTTCCTATAGTATCATATAGTGGGCCCCGTCTTGACTTTACTACTTTCCTTACTGTTTTTTTTTAATCTACGCTTATAAAATTTATTTTTAAATAATCCACGCCTAAAAAATTATTTTTTAAATCTATGCCTACAAAAAATATTGTTAAACCATCCACACCTACAAAAATATTGAAAAAATAGTTCTAAAAAATCGAAGCATACAAAAATATATGGATATCCTCCTTTTAATCCTCCGTATTTAAATATAATTATTTTTCCCTTTTCCATTTCAGATTGGCTGAAATTTTCGAAAAGGAAAAAGAAATCTATATGCGCAAAGATCCCGATCCGTTCGATGAACGCCATCCATATCGTACAGATCCCAGCTGTCAATTTGGTTTCCTACTAAAACTATTATTTCGCAAAGATAATTTTATGAAGAAGGTATGTCCAACCAATTTTAAGAATATTGAGTTTTTTTTTCTAATTAAAATACTTTTTGCCTTGCAGCTTGTCAATGACTATCTGCGTGATAATTATTTTACCCGTCAAAATGTACAAAAAAGTTCCTTAGAATTGAATATATTGGCATTGCGTTTGATATTGGTGATAATGCCAGGTTTGGAGACTTCGGCGGTGTTTCAAGTTGAATTTGATAATTTAATAAATCGCATCTATGGCTGGGCTGAGGATAGTATTGAACCGTTGCAAAGTTATGCCACTGGTTTATTGGCTGCTGCTATGGAAGTTACTGATATTGCTGTGACCTTTAGGGAAATTAATACCCGTCTGGTGCCGAAAATGATAAAACGTTTACATATGCTACAGGCGATACACAAAAGTAAGAGAGATTTTTTTGAAATATGTTTTTAAATATCCTTCATTAATCCCCAAATATATTTTCTACCATTTCAGCAATACTTCAACCATCAACCACAAATAATGCAAATGAATCCATCAATAACTCGATTGATAGTGAAGCGGGTCTGAATAATTCAACACTTGGGGTAGAACGTATCCTACCATCATGGATGGCCGGTTCGGCACCACAATCACCACAACGTTTAGATGATAGTACGGCAAGTGGTCGTGTACAGAATAGCAGCGCCTTGGACACATTTGTAAATTCATCGAACCTATCTACCCTGCTGGAGAATAGTCGTGATGCTTTCCCCACCGGTAGTGGTGGTCGTTATTATAAGAAAATGTATATACCCATACATCCACCATCGGCTGAGACAAGTCAAATGTTAATATTACGTTATCTCACCACTATGGGAGAGTATCAGGAGTTTTTGGGTTTAATATTCGAACACAATGCAATGCAGTTGATTTTTGGATATATTGAAAATTTGGATCGTCGTGATACATGTTTGGCCTTTGAGGCGTTGAAATATTTGGCATCGCTGCTGTGTCACAAGAAGTTTGCATTGGATTTTATAACACATGGTGGATTGGAGGTGAGTGAAAAAATAAAAAAATAACATCCGACTGATATGAAATTTGGCACAGCTCATTTATTTGGCGTAAGGACAAACCCCATTAAAATTGGTAAAACTCGTCTAAGATTCAAATATAGCTCCCATGTATATTTCCGAACGAGTTTATGTAAATTGTACAGCGAATACCCCATACTTGTCTGATTGTGATGAAATTTTATACAGTGTATCGAATATAGTCTGGAATGATGTGTGTAAATTTTGTTGAAATCGGTTCAAAGATTCAATACTGGTCCGATAGCCACGAAATTTTGCACAGAGTACCTAATTGAGTTTAGAATGACGTGTGTCAAGTTTGATTAAAATGGGTTCCAATTTAGATATAGCTCACATAAACAACTTCGTCCGATTTCATAAAATTGGGCCCCTAAGACTCAATGTTGGTCCGAGTGCAACGAAATTTTGCGCAGCATACTGTATTAGTTCTAGATTGGTGTCTATTAAGTTTTGTAGAGATCGGCTTACATTTAATTATAGCTCCCCTATGTCTGTTCGCCCGATTTCATCAAAATTTGGCCCCAAAGGCCCTTCGTTTATCCGAATGCGACGAAATTTTGAATAGTCAGTTAAATTTGAACTTAAAATGAATAGGGATTTCATTATCCCCTCTTCTATATACCCATAGTGGTGTAGGGTATCATATAGTCGATCGCGTCCGATTTTTTTTTTACTTTTTTATTCAACAATTTTATTGTAAATTTAATGTGTCTTTCCAGCGCCTCTTGAGAGTCCCTCGTCCCAGTATAGCTGCCACAGGAGTTTCCATCACCCTATACTACTTAGCCTATTCCGAAGATGCCATGGAACGTATTTGTACAATGCCCAAATATATTATCACAGATTTGGTGCGCTATGCTCTATGGATATTGGGACATTCTTATGATTCGGGAAAATGTCATGCCACCATGTTTTTCGGATTGAGTTTTCAATTTAAGGTTATGCTCGAGGAGTTTGATGCCCAGGATGGCCTCCGGAAGCTATACAATGTGGTGAGTATCGGCGAGATCATTTTTCTATTGGATATGCGACTAATTTTCAATTTTTCCTTTCAGATATCCGTTTTGAAAATCTTGAATCCTTCCAATAATGACGATGACAATAATGAACTCAACGAAGATGTGGAATGTGCCTCACGCCAAATAGTACGCCACGTCTGCGTGGCCCTTAAACGTTATATGGAATCCCATCTCTTCTATAAATACAATAATTTTATGTGTCAACAATTCCCTGTGTCCAGTGAATTTAATCGTAATATCACCAAGGCCACCAAGACCACAATGGAACAGATTAATGAACAAATACGTAATCTACAAGAGAATACATCGGTGCGAGCGCATTGGGCACCCGTCGACCAATTGCTAAAATTAGGTGGTATAACTCTCCTATTGAAAATTATTGCCTTCTCCTATGATTGGAATAATAGTGGACGTTCGGAAACGGTACGTTCAGCATTGGATGTTCTGTCGATATGTTGTGTTATACCTAGGGTCTATGCCACATATTGTGATATATTGGAGTTGCCAGCCATTGTTACAACATCGGGTATTTATTCGATATTGGGTGCAGCAGCTGGTGATATTGTACCTGATGCAGATGTACAAAAGTCCGCATTGGCTGTGTTGTGTAATTGTGTGTGTTCGCCAATAGCAAGGGTGAGTTAATAGCATAACTACTTTTTTTACTTATTTTTTACTTTTTTATTTTTTTAATTTACAGAAAGAACCCAACACTTTGATTAAATGTTTCGGCTCCTCCAAGAAGGCCAAACACAACAACAAATATAGCGAAGAATTAGTGGAAAAGGTGTGGGAATCGGTGTGTTCCAATAACGGCATAATTGTACTACTTTCTCTCATGCAAATTAAAACCCCTATCACAGATGCCGATTGTATCCGCGGCATGGCCTGTCGTGCCTTGGCCGGCCTGGCAAGATGGGAACGAGTCAAGCAAATTATTGGCAAATTACCACTCTTTGCCAGTGGCCAAATACAAACCCTAATGCGCGATCCCATCCTCCAAGAGAAACGTGCCGAACATGTTATATTCCAGAAGTATGCCCTTGAGTTGTTGGAACAAGTTTCAGGCAAGGCCAAGCCTTTTAGTCATCAATTGGACCCTTCGCTGGCAAATATTCATAAGGCCAATGTTATTGCCCAAACCAAGATACAATATAATGAACATCAACTCTATCAATTGATTTACGATCACCTGGAATCCAAGGGCCTCACGCAGACGGCAGCCATGTTACAAAAGGAGGCCAATATTCAACTGCCATCGACAACAATGAAAAGTTTTCATCAATCGCCATTCGATTATAAGGTTATGCCCACCAGTTCAATTGCACGGAATCGTCTGCGATCAAGAATGCAGGATGTTAATCAGGCCATTAACAGTGCCACAACCACGGCGACGCCGAACTCTACAAACAATGCAAACACTAATACACCAACAAATTGCATTACCTCGTCCTCCTCCTCCGTAACGAATTGTGGCACGGATAGTCTAAATGATAGCTTTTCCGAAGATCAAACAATGAGCACCGTCACACCCATTAAATTGGTTAAAAAGACTGAAAAGGTAGCACCCAATTTAACCTCAACAGCAGCCACAAACATCAACAATGTCGCTTCATCAGCAAAATCTTTACAAAAACAAATATCCGTAGTTGACCCCAGTAGTAGTTTGATGATGGATATCAGTTCACCGCCTCAGTTCTCCAACAACATTACCCTCAGCACAATTGTCACGGAATATTTGACAAATCAACATGCCCTCTGCAACAATCCCATGACAACATGTCCACAATTTGATTTGCTAACACCACACAAATGTCCCGACCCGAAACCAAATCGTATATTGGGTGATAATTTAAATGTGGCAACACGCTATGCCAGAGCACAGGATGGTTACAATACAAGAAGATTAAATCGTCGTTTTATCCATTCACATTTTGCCCCTTGGAAGACAATACGTTCCAATGACTATAATGATGTGATATTTTCTTCATGTCACATTGTACCCAATTCAGATATCCTTCTGGCTGGTACGCATCAGGGTGATGCCAAGGTCTATAATATGAATCATGGCACAGAATTGTTTTCGGCACGTTGTCATAGTTATATCATCGATTCTATACTATCGAATCGCACCGGAGATTTGGTATTGACATCGGTTTCATGGCGCAGCCCCTTGAGTGTCCTGTGGGCTGTCAAGGATAATGATTTTGTATCGAAAATTGAATTTGTCGATGAGTTCTATTGTGAATTTAGTAAATTATCTCAGGATAAAGTTATTGGTACTCTGTCAGATGTGAGTGGGGAAATGTATTTTTTTAAAAATGTTTTTTTATTAATGGTTTGAATTTCAATATTTTCTTTATTGCAGGCCTGTACTATATATGATATTGGCACGGGCCAAAAGATATCCACCTTTACACCTACTTTGGGTAATCAGTATACAAAGAATCGTGCCACATTCTGTCCCACCGATGAACTGGTTTTGTCAAGTAAGTTGAATAAGGCGTATTGAATTAAGTTTGGAATGATGTGTGTTAAGTTTCGTGAAAATCGGTTCAGATTTAGATATAGCTACCATATATATTTTCGTCCGATTTAAGGAAAATGGTGCGCCAAAGTCCCTAAATATATTTCGATTTCCACGAAATTTGGCATAGCGTACTGAATTAGGCCTAGAATGACGTACGTGAAGATTCGTGAAAATCGGTTCAGATTTAGATAGAGCTCCCATAGCTCCCCGTAAATGGGTATCACTTTGGATTTGATCTGTTCATTCTTAAGTTTATTTTCTTAATCCATCCTATCTCTGTTTTTTTTATTTCCTTTTCCTAGGTGGTGTCCTATGGGATGTTCGATCCGGCAAAGAAATCCACAAATTTGATAAATTAAATCAATCCTTATCAGGTGTCTTCCATCCAAATGGTTTAGAGGTAAGAGTACAATAAGGCATATCACAGTGCTGTCATTTTAATCTCTTGTGTGTTTTCCCTTACAGATTATTTCCAATACCGAAGTATGGGACTTGCGAACATTCCATCTGTTACAAACTGTCCCAGTGTTGGATCAATGTCTCATCAAATTCTCCCCCCTACACGTGATGTACGGCATCCGTTTGGAAATGGAAAATCGTTCCGATTTCGATGATACAACAAGTTATGATACAAGCTTTAAGGTGCTGGATGCCTATGATTATAGCTCGATAGCAACGATTGATGCCAAGCGCAGCCTGTTCGATTTAAGTGTCAGCGGAAATGGCAGCCTGATTGCATTGGTGGAGGATCAACCATCGTACGAATCGAAACCGGAAACATTTGTGAAAATCTACTGTGTCGGCATGAAGAAAACCGAACAGGACGAAGAGGTGTGTGATATTGAGAGTGTAGATAATTCATCGCCCAATGGTAATGGTACGGCCATGTTGCGCAACTTGTCACGTTTGCATGAGAATTTCGGGACAAGCGGCGATATGGGACGGGCTATTGCCAGGGAGGGTACGGGTGGTTCGTTTAGCCTATTTGCAACGACGGCTGCCAGTGGCAATGGCGGCGTCGGTGGTCATGCTGTGCCGCGCCCCAGGGCTGCTGGCGGCGTTAACGATGCTAATGCTGGTGGAGGAGGCGGCGGAGGTGGCAGTGGTGGTGGTGGTGCCGGAGCAGCTCCAGCTGGAGGATTGGCTATAGCGGCGGATATTGTTGGTATACTACGTAATCGCAATATGATGGATTATAATTCACCACGACGACCCTTGTTGTTGCAGCCACGCAATCACAACCATAACCACACGCATCATCATCATCACCACCATCCTGCGCATTCACAGCAAAATCGTGCCAACAACAATCATGGCAATAACGCTGGCCTACGGGCTTTACCAGTACCAGCAGCGGCAGCAGCTGGCGCAGCAGCCGCAGCATTAGAGCCCGCTGCACCGGCGGCAGCGGGCAATGATAATGGCGGCGGCAGCGGTCGTGGTGGCAACGGCGCAGCAGTGGCAGCAGCACCGGGCAATAATCTTAATAATGGTCTCAATGATGATTTGTTTGATTTGGAAGATATTGCAATAAATTTATTGTCTTTGCTTGTAGGAAGATGAAGAGGAGTGTGAGTCCGATGAGGACAATTCCGATAGTGATGACTCAAACAATGGTAGGTTTGGTTTGATAAAGTTGTATTTTTAAAAAATTATTTTAAAAATATATAAACAAAATATAAAAAAATATATTTTTAAATATTTAAAAAATATATATTTTTTAAAAATTAAAAAAATATTTTTTTTTTAAATTAAAAAATATATATTTTTTTTAAATTAAAAAAATATATCTTTTTTAAATTAAAAAAATTTATCTTTTTTAAATTAAAAAAATATATTTTTTTAAATTAAAAAAATATATATCATTTTTAAAAGAAAAATATTAATTTTTTTAAATTAAAAATTTTGTTTTAAATCTAATAATTTTTTCAAATGATTTCCAGTGTTTGATATTATTCCTGATGAGCGTCCTGGCCGTAGACGCCGTGGCAACAATGATGATGCTGATGGTGATGACGATGACGATGACCAGGATGATGATGATGACGACGACGATGATGATGACGATGACGACGACGATAGTGATGATGATGATGACGACGATGGCGATGATGATGACGACGATGATGGTTGGATGGACATCATGGAGGATGATGATCTTCCACATCATTTCCGTTTATTTGCTTAGTTGTTTTCATTTTATCACACAATCAAATGTGGTGTTCGCTCGCTACCCCCCATCATCAATCGCCTGTATGTCTGTACATCGCAAGCAAACAAACAAAAAAATTGTGTAAGCCGCCTTGCAGAGTCTCCTTCAGTTTCCTTGTGTATATGGTCTCTTTCTCGCTCGAGAACTGTGTTCCTGCCGCCAGCCAACTTTTTTTTATATTAAAAATTTTTAGAGGCCTCAAAATTGAATCGATACATAGCCCTTTGCGCCTAACTGCCTTGAATTTTCTTAAGCCAAGAAAATTGTCGGTGTGTGTGGGGTGATGATTTTCTTGTTTTCCCGCTCGACTCGACTACAGACAAATTTAAAAAAAATCGATTATCCATCGCGATTATCCTTTCTGTTCACAAATTTCTTTAGTTTTTTTTTTGCTTTTTCATTTTAATCTTAACCTAATATATAAGTTATATAGCTAGATGTTTATTAATTCTAATGTTATTTGTAATGCATTAAAAAAGAAATTCTTTGTTAAATATATATACACTTTTTTGGAAAGAAATTATTATTTTTTAATTTTCGTAATTTTTTTTACATTTCAAAAAAAAAAAAAAAAAAAAACATAAAAAAATAAATAATAAAAATTATTATTTATTTTTTTATTTACCAAAAATTTTTCGAAGAACATTTTTTTTTTTAATAATTTGTTTCTTCAAAAAAAATTTGTAGGTATTTTTTTCCCAAATTATAAAAACTAAAATAAAAAAATATTATTTTTTTCAAAAAGAAAAAAAATTATAATAATTTTCTAAATTTTTTTTCTAAAAACAAAAATTACAAAAAGAAAAAAATACAAATTCAAAAGAATAAAATAAAAAATAATTTTCTGAAAAAATAATTTAAAAAAATATTTTTGTTTTGCAAAAAATTTATTTTTTTTTAAAAGTTTAATTATATATTTTTTTGCAAAAAAAAAATTAAAGGAAAAAATAATATTTTTTTTTTGAAAAAAAAAAAAATTTTTTTTCTTTTAAATTTTTTTTACAAAAAATTTAATTACAAAAAAATACAATTTTTTGTTCCATTGATTTTTCTACAATAATTTCAGCATATAATTATTCTACCCACAAACCCCTTCAATTATAGATTATTTTTTTTCCAAAAAATTAAAATTTTCAAATGATATTTTGTCTAACAAAATCTAAACAAAACTCAATATCAATTACCAATCGTATGTATAATTGTATGTAATTAATTAACTAATTTAATAGGTATATCTATATGAAAAAATATATATAAAAAACAAAAAAATTATAAGAAATTGTATAACAATTTACTTGCATTTTTTATAAAAAAAAAAAAAAAAACAAAAAACCGAACATAAATGAACTGTATTTAATATAATAATAAAAAAAGAAATCTGTTTCAAAGGAAAAAACATGTTTTATTTTTTTAGGTTAGGTCAGGGTACACAAAACGCCAAACTTGTAAAAAAAAAAAAATTTTCAAAAAATTGATTTTATTTTCAAAAATATTTTTTCGTTTCGTTTAATTTGTATTTTTTAATTTTGTATTTTTTTAGTTTTGTATTTTTTTTTAATTTTGTATTTTTTTAGTTTTGTATTTTTTTAATTTTGTATTTTTTTAATTTTGTATTTTTTTTTAATTTTGTATTTTTTTTAATTTTGTATTTTTTTAGTTTTGTAATTTTTAAATTTTATATTTTTTTAATTTTTATTTAGGTTAGGTCAGGGTACAAAAAACGCCAAAAAATTTCAAAAAATTGATTTTATTTTCAAAAATATTTTTCCGTTTCGCTTAATTTGTATTTTTTTAATTTTGTATTTTTTTAGTTTTGTATTTTTTTTTTAATTTTGTATTTTTTTTTTTAATTTTGTATTTTTTTTTTAATTTTGTATTTTTTTTTAATTTTGTATTTTTTTTTAATTTTGTTTTTTTTTATTTTGTATTTTTTTTTAATTTTGTATTTTTTTAATTTTGTTTTTTTTTATTTTGTATTTTTTTTTAATTTTGTATTTTTTTTTAATTTTGTATTTTTTTAGTTTTGTAATATTTAAATTTTATATTTTTTTATTTTTTATTTTTTTTTAATTTTGTATTTTTTTTTTTTTTGATTTTGTATTTTTTTTTTAATTTTCCAATTCTGACAAGTTCCTACTTTTAAGAAAATGTTCTCATGTTTTTATTTTCAATGCCTCGAACTTCCGATATATTTTACATACATTCTTATATCCACCCATTCATCCATTCATTAATTCCAAATATAGAATTGAAAACAAGAAATATTCAAATTAATTGCTAATTTATAATATTGTTGCTCTTGGTTGTTTATTTTCTGTATTTTTATTTACGAATATTCGATTTCAATGCCCTCCCGATAATATATGACACTCGTACAAAAATATCCATATTAACTAGGGATAGACAACTAGTAGTTTATTCTTCTCTAACCATTAAAGAATTTTAATCAAATTTATCTTATCTAAAGCAGTAGACAACAACAAATCATTGAGATTAAATAGACAATAATACGAAGCGTTCAGATTTTTTGCAAAGCTTCAAATAAAATTTTCCAAACTTTCGAAAAAAAAAATTGAAAATAAATCAAAGAAATGCTTAGCTAGCTAATAAAGTCGTTAATGTAGTAAAACAATAGAGATGCCAATTGGAAAAAGAAAAAAATTTGGGATTTTGAAAAAAATTATCCCGGCATTTTTTTATCACTTACTCAATTTTTGGCAAATAATTTGAACTTCTCCATTCCTATTTAAATCTCTATGGGTCTCCTTGTTACCTATATTGATCAATATTTACTTCATCCGTATCTATTTAGATTTTGTCCTGACCTAAACGAACCTTTACAATGCTCATTATGACCTTAACGACTTTCAATGAACTACTGATTGGCTATACGTGCCTCTTTGAAGCTTCCACTTAACATTTCGTTACAATTCTGATTACATTCCCGAACATCTAGTCAATTTCTTAAACTATTTTGAACCTATCTCTACCTATAATAACCTCGATTACCCTCCTCATTACCTGTAGGGACCTCAGAGACCATATTAATAACATGTCCGGCAGCTGCATTGTTTTCCCACATGTTCGAACATCTTTAAATCATGTTCAGACTCATATTAAGCTACTTCCCTGCATATGCAGACTCTTTGGAATTCCTCCGTACCTTTACAGACCACAATAGAGCTCGTCTTTACATATTTAGATCAAAATTGAGCTTCTCTTAACCTTCGCAATCCTCTATTGAGCTATTTAGAACTTAACCTTACTTATAGGAACCTTCATCATCCTCATTATAATCTATTCGGACCTCTGTAGATCATTTCAATAGCATTTCCAGTAGCTGCAGAGTAGGGGCTTATCCTTAACTATGATAACCTCTATGATCCTCCTTATTACCTATACGGATGTCTGTAAAACATATCAGTAAGATGTTCAAACATCTGCAGAGTTCTCTCTGGTTGCACAGACCTCTATAGAACTCATCTGTACATATGCAGATCTATTTTGGGATCCTCATTACCATTGCAAGCCTCAGTGCTTACCTTTGCAGACCTCTATTGAGCCTTTATCTACCTTCGAACAGATCTTTCCTACCTATACAGACCTCCACTTTACCTTTAGAGACCACCTCCTTAAAAATACAGACCTCTGTACCTATAATCGCGCTTGATATCGCTTATTTTAACACTGAATTACCTCTACAGAGGTTATCCTTGCCTAAACAGACATCTTTCGGGCCTTTCTTACTTATATCGAACTCTACTGAGGTCGATATTACCCATACATACTTCCAATAAACTGCATCTTACCTAATAGAGCTTCTCCTAACCTATACTTACTTCAAAACAGCTCGTACTAACCTATACAGACCATTATAGAGCTCCTCTTCACCTATACAGGCCACAGAAGGTCTTCTCCTAACCTGTACATAAATTTATAAATCTCATACTAACCTGTACAGACCTCTATGGAGCTCCTCCTGACCTGTACAAACCTCTATATATGTCCTTTTAACCTATACATACCTCTATATAGCTCCTATTAACCTATAATGGCCTCCAAAAAATTTGTTTACCTACATAAATCTCTATGAAGCTCCTCCTTACCTATAGAGACCTGTATGGACCTCATCCTTACCTATATAGACCTCTATGGAGGTCCTTCTAACCTATACAGACCTCCATAGGGCTCCTAATAGCCTACACAAAACTCTATAGCCTACACAAAACTCTATAAAGCTTCTTTTAACCTATACATACTTGTATCGACGTCCTCCAAACCTATACAGTCCTCTATAGAGTTTCTCCTAACTTATACAGTCCTCTATGCAGCTCCTCCTAACATATACAGACCTCCATAGGGCTCTTTTTATCCTATACAGACATGTATAGAGTTCCTTATCAACTATACAGTCATCTATAGAGTTGCTCCTAACCTATATAGTCCTCTACAAATATCCTCCTAACCTATACGGACCTAAATAGAGTCCTTCCTTAGCCATATAAACCTCTACTATATAGCTCTTCACCTCCTGGATTCCGGTACGGAGTCCTATAGCGCTTGAAATTTTCCACACAGTTCTCTGTAGGCCATATTCTTATATACACCGAACTATAGGGGCCTCTATAAATATTCTCCTAACCTTAATGCATATAAATATAATCCTCCCTTTGCCATTTCAGAGGTAAATGACCTCTTCTCCAGTTATTTCAGGAAAAAAAATCCCATATTGGGCATTTAGAAATTCCGCAAAACGCGAACTTTCAAAATCCCCACTCCTACACCCAACGATGAGCAACAAAACTAACAACTAAATTCTAGCCGAAACCTGTTCCACAAATAATGACCAAAAACAGAATTTTGACATTGCATCTGGAAAAAATAACAACAACAACGAAAACCACACACAAAACAACAACAAAAAATTCAAATCTCCACTCCACGAAAAAAGTGACACTGACCGCACCATGAAGAGCTACGACAATGTTTTCGCATGTTCGGATTTTGTAAAAAAAAGAAAAACAAATCGAAAAAAACTGTCACCTGAATGGCTATCCTCAATGTGAGTCAGTGTGTGTGTGGTCAGAACATTTTCTTTTCTGTTATTGTTGCTGCTATTTTTTCTGTTTGTTTTTGTTTTAATGAATTCCCAATTAAACTCAAAACTTAATCGTAAAATGAAAATTATTTTCAGTTGTTAATAAACCACGAAACGCTTTAGACGATAAATAAATATTTTTATACGAATTTAAAAACCTCTTTAATCGCGAGAACGTAATCTGTGACGCGTTCATAATTTTTATCTAACGGATAAACGGTATTTCGAATTATCAGTATCGATTGGATTGGCAAAATGTTTCCGAACTATGGCAATTGTATATTTTTTGTTTTTGTGCTAAGTGTTTTCGGAAATATCGCCGAGGCCAAATTATTTGAAGAAAATACCAAATTTTGCCTCCGAACAGAACCGATGCTATTGGCCGATATTGAAAAGCATAAAAGTCCCGAGGGACACAATAAGTCATGTGAAATTGTGGCAACGCTATTGACATCACTGGAAAAGGTATTATTTTTGGATATGAGAAATTAAGTTCATAACAGAAAAAAAAAATCGAATACTCATACGACCTGCTTGCAACATATATGGACAACTATAGCACGCATAAGTTGCTATACAAACCTCTACAGATCACATAATCACATATACGAACCTGTTTATAACTCCTCCCTACCTATACAGATCTCTATAGGGTTCCACCTTACCTAAGCATACCCCTATAGAGCTTCTGCTCACCTCTACACACCTCTATAGAACTCCTCCTAACCTATATAGACCTCTATAGGACTCCTACTAATCTTTACATACCTCTAAAAAGCTTCTCCTTACCTATGCAGACCTCTATATATACCTCCTCCTTGCCTATAGATACCACTATAGATCCCCTCCTTACCTATACATAACTCTCTAGAGCTCCTACTTACCTATACAGGCATCATCCTAAAATATGTAGACCTCTATAGGACTTCTACAACTTATAGGGACCCCAATAGAAAACATAAGTCCCTATACGAACCTCTACACATCACATAATCATATATACGAACCTGTTTATAGCTCCACCTTACATCTTTATAGAGCTTCTCCATACATATTCAAACCTCTACAAAGCTCCCACTTACCTATACAGACATCTATAGAACTACTCCTCGTCTATACTACTCCTGCTTACATATTCCGACCTCTATGGAGCTCCTTCTTATATATACAGACATCTAAAGAACTCCTCCTAACCTATACAGACCTCTATAGAGCTCCTCCTAACCTATACAGACCTTTATAGAACTCCTCCTAACCTACACACACCTCCAAAGTGTTAATTCTAACCTTTACAGTCCCCTGCAGAACTCCTTCCCTATACATAATGATATAGAGCTTCCCTGAACATACCTCTACAGAGCTCCTCTTAACCGATATAGTGCTTTATAGAGCTCCTCCTAACCCATACAAACCTCTTTACAACTCCTCCTTACCTTTACAGACCTTTGTAGAACCCTTCCTAACCTATACATACCACTATAGAACTCTTTCTTACCTATATAGACTTCTAAAAGCCTCCTCGTAATTTATACAGACCTCTATATAGTTTTTCATAGCCTGTAGAGACCTCTACAGACCTCCTCCATACCTAAAGCTTCCTCGATATATATACATACCTCTATAAAGCTATTCTTAACCTATACATACCTTTCCTATACATGCCTCTAGAAAGTTCCTCCCAAACTATACAGACATATATTATGTTCGTCCAAACCTATTCAGCCCTCCAAAGAGCCCCTACTCACCTTTGCAGGCCTCTATAAAGATCCCCCTTAGCTTTACCGACCTCTATATAATTTTTCCTCACCTGTAGAGACCTCCTCCATTCCTAAAGCTTCCTCGATATAACTTGTTCTTACCTATAGAGGCCTCTATAGAACTCCTTCTAACTCATATAAAGCACGGGGAAATAATCCTCAAGACAACATATTTTTCATGCTGCAAAGAAAAGTGTTGTTATTAAAATAACAACAACATTTTCCTAATATAACTTTATTAATCACCTGAGATCGGTAATTAACCTCTATGCGAACCAAATATGTCCATTAAAGTGTCTGGCAATGTTGTTACGCCCATAAATGGTATGAATTGAATGATTCAATCACATCGATGACAGTTAAATGTTTACATTTGTTTTTCATGTGTCAGATGCTAAAATAGGCGGATCAATGCCAATGTCGAAGTTTACATTAACGCGATTAAGTGGTCTTCATTTGACATGTGTGCATTTTCCTTGAATAATTGAAATTATTTTTTTCTCTCTCTCTCCTCCAACCTAGGAAAGCTTCCGCAATACAATGTGCAAGGATCATGGCAGTTCGCACAAGGATGCCTTCTATTTTTTGAAATTCTATAATGGCGATTTGATTGGCCGTGGAACATATCACGAAATATGTAAGGGTGAAAAGAATCCCCTACTGGCATGGATACCCTATGAAATGATGCAGACGTATTATGCTCAGGAATTGAACCCAAAGGAGGTACTTCGAGAGATATTAAACTAATAATGCATTGTGATTAATCAGGATTTTCTTTTACAGCGTTTAAATTATATGGCCAAGGCCACAGATGTTTCCCGTGAAAAAACGGAACTGTGTCATTTTCGTCATTCCGATTTGGTCGAGAAAATACCGGATAATTTATTCACCTGCGTGGTGATGATATTTGAAGATAATTTTGTAAGTAGAAGGCAATAACTATTTTCCCGAAGGCAAAAACATTTTTACAGATCCCTTTAGAGTTCCTCTTTACATGTGCTAATTTTTATAGAATTCTTCCTTACCTATGCATACTTCTATAGAGCTCCTCCTCACCTAGACCGACCACAACCTTACCCATACAGACTTTAATAGATTTCCTTCTTACCTACACAGACCTCTATAGAACACCTATTTGAATATAAAGACCTCTATAGGGTCCCTCCTCACCATACAGACCTTTATAGAGCTTCAACTTACCTATATAGACCTCTGTAGAGCTCCTCCCAACTTATGCAGACCTCTACAGATCTCCTCCTCACCTATACAGACCTCTTTAGAGCCCCCTCCTAACCTATTCAGACCCCAGTAGAACTCTTCCTCAGCTACATAGACCTCTATAGAGCTCACTCTTACCTATACAGATCTCTAAAGACCTCCTACTCACCTCCATAGACCTTTATATAGTTTTAAATTACCTATACAGACTTCTATAGAACTCCTCCTTACCTATACAGACCTCTATAGAGCTTTAAATAACTTGAACATATTTCAATAGACTTCTAAAGAGCTCTTTCTTACCTATACAGACCTCTACAGCTGTACTCCTTATCTATACAGAGCTTTTTCTTACCTATACGGACGTCTTTAGTCTTCCTCCTTAGATATAAGGGTCTTCCCTTTACCCATACATACTTCTATTGACCTTCTACGTACCTATACGGACCTGTCTTTGGCGGTTCTATACCTATAGGAGCCTCTATAGGACTCTTCTATACCTATATGAGCCGCTATTGGGCTCTTCTATACCTATAGGAGATCATATATACCTATAGGAGTCTCTATAGGGCTCCCCTAAACCTATAGGAGCCTCTATAGGGCTCCTTTACACATATAGGAGCCTCTATAGGGATCATTTAAATCTATAAAAGCCTCAATAGGGGTCCAGTATACCTATAGGAGCCTCTATAGGGCTCATCTATACCTATAGGAAATATATAGGGTTCCTCTGTACCTATAGGAACCTCTATAGGGTTCATCTATACCTATAGGAGTCTCTATAGGGCTCCCCTATACCTATAGGAGCCTCTATAGGGCTCCTTTATGCCTATAGGAGCCTCTATAGGGCTCATCTATGCTTATAGCAGCCTCTATAGGGCTCCTCTATACCTATAAGAGCCTCTATACGGCTTCTCCGTAACTATGTAGACCTCTGCAGCCCTCCATTGAGCAGTTCGAAGAATACGGATTTAATTAACCCGCGTAATTTTTTATTTATTTTTCAGTATGGTCTTGAGTCCAGTATTAATGTTCTTGTCGAAATCAAACCCCTGATGTATGAGCTACGCAATGTGACGTTTATGCCTTGGGTTAATTCCACGATCAGTTATAAAACACTGCTGGGCCGTACCTACCTAAAAAATCCCAGTCGGGAGCGGAAACAAATCTATGGCAATTTCAATTATGAATATGTGGAGAAGGTGGAACTGAATCTTAGTTCCATTTATAAAAATGGTATGCGGAAATTGCCATTGTTGTTCGAAAATAAAAATGCCGTGCTGAAGATCGATGACAAGGGCATTGGAGGTATGGATGTTAAAGAGGTAACATTTGAAAGAGAACTAGAAAAATAGCCCTGGGCAATTTTTAATAAGTTTCTCCTTTCCATTTTCAGAAAGCCTATTTTGGTCGTAAAATGGAACCGAAGACCAAGGTCCGCGTCGACATCATTGGTCAATGGGCGGAGGATCGTCAGGAATTCTCTGCCGACATCTACGAATATTTCGGTTATGGTGTCAAGCGATTCTACAGAGAAATGCAGAACGGCAATGTCACCTTTATGCGTATCGAAGGTACCGAACCGGTCTATGAAATGCCTGAGGAGGATGATATTGTAGTGCCACAAATCCATTCGATAGATGGTAAACGTTTTGAACGTTTAACTGAGGCGGATGATGATCTGTATGCGGGTTACAACGATACCGATGGTGATTTTACGGATCTGGAGGGTCTTTTCGAGGAGGATGAAATGAATGTGGATGGCCTGCGGGATGATACGGAGAGTGAGAATAATTCGAATAGTGGTTTCTATCCATGGTTTATTTTGGTGGTATTGATTGTGGGTGGTCTACTTGTGGGTACGGTTTATTTGGTCGCACGCCATTATAGTTCACGCGATGAGCGACGAAGATATAAATTTACAGGAATATGAAGAAGAGGAAATTTTTATGTACGAATTACGAAGAAGAAGTTATTGTAATCATGTGATTGTGTTATTTATTTTTGGGAACTAATATAAATTTTTAGAAATTAACCGAATTTTAGTTGTTTTATTTACCAATATAGACCTCTATTGAGTTCCTCCCTAGCTATAGGGACCTCTACAGAGCTATAAACAGTTCTCTTTACCTTAAAGACTTCTAGCCATAACATATAAGCCCCTGCTATTATATAAATACCTCTTTTAAGTCACTGCTAACCTATACAGACCTATTAAGTCTATTAAGTCCCTATGTATGTATACGAACCCGTATGGAGCTCATCCATAACAATACAAATCTCTTTTGAACTCCTGCATATCTATAAAAAGGTCTATTGAGCTGCTAACCTATACAGGCATCTATTGAGTTCCTACTTATCTATGCGGGCCTCTATAGAACTCATCCATACCCATCCAATCCTCTATAAAAGGGTTTCTTTGCCAATTCAGACCCCTATTGAGGTTCTTATTATCTATCAAGACCCCTATTGGGTTCCTGTTAAACTATGCTGACCTCTATTGATGTCCTGCTTACCTATACATACCTCTATTAAGTTTCTACCTATTGATACAGACCTCTATTGAGTTCCTATGTATGCATACGAACTCATCCACATTATACAAACCTCGATTGAACTCCTGTATACTGTATAAAGATCTCTATTGAGCTTTTGATTACCTATATAGACATCTACTGAGCTTCTCCTTACCTACACGGACCTATATAAACCTCTATAAAATTCATCCATACCCATACAACCCTCTATAAAAGGTTCCCTTTACGTATTCAGACCTCTATTGAGGTTCTGCATACTTATCAATACCTCTTTGGGGCTTCTGCTGAACTATGTAGACCTCTATTGATGTCCTGCTAACCTATACATATCTCTGTTGAGCTCCTGCTTATCTACTTATCTGTACGGATGCGTATGCAAACCTATGTAAGGTTCTCTTTACCTAGTCAAACCTATATTCAGATCCTGCTTACCTATGCAGGCCTCTGTTGAGTTCATACTAATCTATACGGATCTCTAAAGAGCTCAGCCTTACCTATAGAAACCTCTATAAATGTCCTTTTTTACTTATTCAGACCTCTGTTGAGCTTCTGCTCACCTGTAGAGATCTCTATTGCGCTCCTGCTTACCTATACAGACCTATGTTGAGCTTTAGCTTACCTATGCGAGAACTCGTCCATACCCATATAAACCTCTATAAAAATATCTATTATCTATTCAGATCTGTATTGAGCTCCTGCTAACCTATACAAACCTCTATTGAACTTCTCCATACCTATACACACTTCTATTGAGCTCCTGCGTATCCATACTGAACTCTATTGAGCTAGTGCATACATATACATACCTCAATAAGGGCATACAGATCTTAATCCATACTGCATATCCATACTGACGTCTATTGAGGTATTTTAACCTATACAGACCTCTATTGAGCTCCTGCATACCAATACACATCTCTAATAACCTCCTGCATATCCATACTTCCTCTATTAAGCTACTTCTAGCCTATACAGACCACTATTGAGCTTCTGCATACCTACGCACACCTCTATTGAGCTTTTGCATATCCATACTGACCTCTATTGAGCTACTTCTAACTTATACAGGCCTCTATTGAGCTCTTGCATATCCATACTGACCTCTGTTGAGCTACTTCTAACTTATACACGCCTCTATTGAGCTCTTGCATAACCATACTGACCTCTATTAAGCTACTTCTAACTTATACAGGCCTCTATTGAGCTTCTGAATATCCATACTGACCTCTATTGAGCCACTTTTAACCTATGCAGACCTCTATTTAGATCCTGCTTACCTTTGCACACCCCTATTGAGCTCCTGCATACCTATACACACCTCTATTGAGCTCCTGCATACCTATATACACCTAAGGCCATATACGCTATATTCCGTAACTGAGGCCTCCTGTAAACACATATCTCATTCTGACCTCTTTACGTCAGTCGTTTTTAATGGTTAATTCTCAGTTATGCTCGCACACACTTGCTCTCAATTTAATTTTGCCCAACACTGCTATATACACTTCTATTGAGCTCCTGCATATCTATACTGACCTCTATTGAGCCCCTTTTAACCTATACATACCTCTATTGAGCTCCTGGATACCTATACACACTTCTATTGAGCTCCTACATATTTAGGCTGACTTCTATTGAGCTACTGCATATTCCTACTTACCTCCATTGAGCTACTTCTAACCTATAAAGGCCTATTTAAACTCCTGCTATCCTAAAAAGATATCTATTCGAACCTCTATAGAATTTTTCTTTAATATAGTTTCTAAAGGCGAGCGAGTTATGCCTACTACCCAAGACTGTGGCGACTGTATAAGAGCAAAAGACTCAAACGAAACGAGTTAGGAGGAAAAGTTATTGCAGAAATGTAACCGAAAGTAGCGGTAGAATTTTTTTCTGACTGTCGCACATTTTATAACCTAGTAGCCGATTTTACGACCTGTCCATAGAGTAGAATAAAAATATTTATATCTTGGAGTCATGGTATTTTGTTTTCTATTTATTTGTATCATTTGTGAAACACCCTGTGTCAGAATAAATCCCATTAGAAAATCATTCACACTTGGCAACTCTCCATTTAAATGGGAATGCAAAACATAAACAAACGCGGCCCGGTCTTGATGATGGAAGGAATTCGTGTTGTGTTTCGGTGAAATCAGTGATTTTTTAAGATAAACAAATAAGAAAGAAAGAATAAAAAGATAAAATAGTAGAAATAGAAGAAAATTAAAAAAGAAATGTAAAAAATAATAATTATTTTGGAAGTAAATTGAATGCAAATGTGAAAAATCAATGTTCGTCGAAAATTTCAAAGTTGTCAAAAGAGAGAATTGTGTGTGAGTGTGTGTTTCAGAGAATTAAATGTAAGATAAATTAATTAAATACAACATTTATTAAAATAATATAATAAAATATAGAAAAGTACACATATTGCAATCGTAAACAAATAAAATCTATATATGGTAAGTAATTTATTAATGATTTTTAAATAAAAACAAAATTTATACGTTCTCTCCGATTACATGGCAGTTTTCATTTGATTGTCATTAGTTTTCGCAATGATATGTTAGCGTTAGTGAACAAGTAACGTGAATTTAAATGTTGTGAACGTTACCAACATTAACCCTAGAAAGGTATATGTAAAATGTTACTCCGATTTGGGATTTAGACTTCATTATTGAAGCAAAAAATCTTTGTACGATCACTGAAGATTAATGTTTCGAGACTTTGGAACCATATATAAAATATTTTCTCAAATCACACCTGTTTTAAAATCTTTTTTAATCTACTCCCAAAGCGTGGATTTTTATAATTATTTTTTTGGGCTTGGATTTTTTATAATTATTTTTTTGGGCTTGGATTTTTTATAATTAAGGCTTGGATTTTTTAAAATTATTTTTTAACTCTACTCCAAAGACCCGAATTTCTCAATAAGTATTTCTTTGCTTTGCAGCGAATTATTTCCAAAATCTTTCAATATGGTCGATGTTTCTGAACTGATATCCGACATCACGAATTTCGTGCTTTCGAGTGATAACAAGCGTTAAAATTATTTATTTAGGATACTCCAAAGCGGATATTTTTATTTTTTTAAGGCTACTCCCAAGGCGTTGATTTTTTAAAATTATTTTTAAGGCTACTCCCTAGGCGGGGATTTTTAAAATTATTTTTTATGCTACTCCAAAGACGGACATTTTTAAATTTTGTAAGGCTACTCTAAAGACGTGCATTTCTCAATGAGTATTTCTTTAGGAATTCCTTCCAAAATCGTTTAATACGGTCAATATTTGGAACTGATATCCGACATCACGAATCCACACTTTGAAATGATAACAAGCGTTGGGTTCCCAATTACACTTATAGCCGACAAACCACCGTTAGTGCGCCCTGGACGCGAGAAGTCAATTTATAACTTGAAATTTCCATCGAAGGTAGGCGTATCTCTACCGTCCTTGGAGTGGTTTTCGATAGCTTCTTCTTAAGTTATACAGGCAACTATAAAGCGACACTTAACCTAGAGAGACCTCTATTGAGCTCTGCCTTACCTATACACACCTCTATGGAGCTCTTTCTTACCTATACAGACATCTGTAGAGATCCCCCTAATCTATACAATCTTCTATAGAGCTCATTCATACCTATGCAGACCTCTTTAGAACTCCTGCCATCCAATACAGACCTCTATAAAATTCCCCTAACCTATAGAGATCTATATAGAGCTCCACCTAACCTATACACACCTTTATGAACTTCCTCCGTACTTATATAGACGACTATAGAGCACCTCCTCACCCATAAAGGCGTCTGTGGAGTTCCTCCTAACCTATACGGAACTCTATAGAGCTCCTCCTTACCTTTACAGACCTCCATAGAGATCCTCTTTACCTATATATACCTTTATGTAGCTCCTTCTTACCTTTACAAACATCAATAGAGCTCCTTCTTACCTTTACAGACAACAATAGAGCTCCTTCTTATCTATACAGACATCTATAGTGCTCCTCCTTACCTATACAGACCTTTATAGAGCTTCTCTTTACCTATACAGACCTCTATAGAGCTTCTCTTCACCTATACAAACCTCTACGGATCTCCTCCCAACCTCTACGTGCTCCAATAGGGCTCCTCCATACCTATATTTACCTCTATAGGTCTCCTCCCACCTATACATACCTATTTAGGACTCCTCCTAACATATACACACTTCTATGAAGCTCCTCTTTACCCATACAGAGTTCCTCTCATAATGTAAAGACCTCTATAGGGCTCCTCCATGCCAATATTGACCTCTATAGAGCTCCTCCATACCTATACAGACGCCTACAGAGCTCCTCCATACCTATACGGACCTCTATAGAACTTCTCATAACCTATATAGACCTCTATGGATTACCTCCCA